AGTCTAGAGAAACAATGATACATCTGGGTACAATAGGCACTTCAGGTAGATCGGACAAAAAAACGTGTGTGTGTGTGTGTGTGTGTGTGTTCATGAAAAAGCTGATATCTAGACCTTGGCACGCTTTTCTAAAAACGGCAACATTTTCCTTACTAAGTCTCACACATACATGATCTTTGTCTCCTACATTAGTCACAATTTCCTATTATTCAACATGACCAACAGCTTCCTTCAACATACTTTTAACTTTCACGGTGTTTGCTTTCTTTCCACTCGCTTCCACTCTTTCTGCTTAAACTGCATTTTCTTTAGTTTCCTCTACCGTCTATAGGGCTAATGAGGCAGATGCTGTGAACACACCTCATCCAACCTGACAACACGGGGTTCTTGAATTTGCCTTTTAAAACTCACAATTTTCATAAATAGGATACTTATATGCCCAGCACTACAATATTGAGCACAATGAAATGAGTAACACTGTTTATTGGCAGCGTGGTGGTGCGTGCTGCCGGCTGCTTGAACATTGATTTTTGTGTGGGTAGAGCATTTCTGAATTCAAAGGAGCTTATTGCCATAATTATATGGACACTCTTCTCACCCATTGTTTGTACCGATTTTAAAGAAAGAATACTCTCAAATGTATTTTTGTCTTTGAATAGCTCCAATATTAGAGATCAAAACATGTTATACACATTTAATTATTTCAAACAGCAACACACACTGTAGGTTCAAAGCATTCTATTCTCCATGGAGTTTTATTTTTTTCTTCAAGACAACGTCAATGAGAACATCAAAATCAATAATAAAAGAATGTCAGGTTTATACATCCAAATCTATAAATGCACCTTTCAGCAGTTTGATGATTCATCCCATCTTTGAGCAGGAAATCAGACACAGGCAGCATAGACCTCTCATTGCTTTGCTTCATCGTAATTTCGTTCTTTATCTAATTTTCCCACAGGTAATCAAACGCCATTTCCTGCAGTACAAGTGTCCATTTAGTCCGAAGCAGAGCAGATGACCTCTCCTCAGTTTTGGACACAATCAAACGAGTGTCTTTGGGCCATGACCCAGATTCTAACTTCCACTGATGGACTTTGGGCCTGGGCACTCTCTCCTGTTACAGTTTTCTCTCTCAGTAACAGGAAGAGAGTTCATCCATGCCACAAATCTCTCTCGAGGTATACATGTGCGTCATAATCAGCATTCAGGCCTGTCAAGTTTAAAGGGGACATGCTGTAGTGTGTAATATGCTTGTTTTAACCAACTTATAACCACATTCCTTTCCAGACTTTACATACTTGCTTTCTTACTTACCTAAACATCTGTATTTCTAACTTTCTAAGTATTGCAAACAAAAGCAATGTTTAAAATGTCTCAAATAAATACATATTGTCAATTATAAACATTTTTTTCTTTTTCTTTTTTTAACAAAAGCTTGTACATATATTGGGAATGCTTTAAAAATGTGTCTACTAGTAAATATACTGACATTTACCACCTGTTTCTTCTTCATCAATGATTCACACAGTAATCCTGCATTGTCTTACATTTGGATTGTTTCACAGTATGGCATAAACTGACCTATTTACCTCCACAACCACATCCATAAATGAATCAAAAATAGATATGGTAATCATGTGAAGCGTGGCATGCATGAAGAAAACATACTGCAACTTTGATTTGTCACTATCACAAATGCCCTTGGAGTGAGTGCTCCTCATTATAAACAACTGATATCTTGAATCATAATAAACACTCTGTGCTAACTCTGTGTCTTTGGAAGTAAAACAGTGATATTATAATCAAAAGAACAAGGTGTTCCCACAGCACAGAATCCTACTTGTTTTAGTTATCTGTGGGTAGCCTTTTACAATTCCACAATAGTTTTAAATGTCTCATGCACAAGTGGTGCTCTGTGTATTCATGCTACAATCTCCTCTCTACCTGTTATACAATCTTTCAGGTTCTAATCAATCCAAGCAACACTGTAGTACTTATAGGGACGATTGTCATTCCCACAACGGCTTACTTCACATAGCTGCATTACCAACAGTACTGCTTGATTTGAGAGTGTAGAATATGTGTAGGGATGTAAGTCTTGTCATTCATCAGTTATCATTGTTCTGAGTAAACTACCACACTGTGACATCTTGTGGCTCTATTAAGAATTACAATTTCGTATTTCTATAACTTTAAACCTTAGGAATCTAACAGTTTAGTTTCTGTCCCATCTTTAGACCAGCTTTGTCGGACAGGAGTGAAAAAGAGCCAATCAGTTCTTGCTAACTATTCCTTGGAGGCTTCAACAGACTCTACATGTTCTCTACACAAACTTCTGACCCTGATTATAATATACCAGTTCTCAATAATATGTGCTTAACATCTTGGATTCTTTTGTGGTAGTTGTGGGTTTGAGGAGTTGAGGTTCTTTATCCGATGGTGAAACTGCCTATTCTTCTTGGCAAAATGCCTCCAGTTCCTGTTATTTCCTTTGGCCTTGCGTGATATGTTTGAGACTCGCCCATAGCTGCTGAAATGTGTTATCATTAAGTTATAAAACATATTCACTTGACAATAAATGGCATCACACAACCACTTTCATTAACATATTCATAATCTCTGAAAGGCCAATCTAAAGCACTGTAAAACACACCTTTTTTGTCTGGGAGACTGAGCAACTGTTAAAATGTTTTAAAATGATAAAGTATGATTATTGTAGCGTTTTAGTAGATGTTAAATAGTAGTAAAAAAGTAGAATTGTCCTTTCTTTGTTGTTCATAAACACATTTCAACGTAAGAATTAAAATCATAACCATACAATGTTATCCTTCTGATAGAGCAGCTAGAATATTAGAATCAGAATAATGTTACAGCCATTAAAAGTGACAGAAGTCACAAACTAGAAATATGCCTTTGCTCAAGCTGCAACCGAGCTTTGGAGTTAAAAAATAGCGTAAAAATAGGAATAGATAAATGCATCAACCATAGATGCTTTCAAAAATAGAGAATATTCTTAGCCAGTGCTAATATCAAATGGTAAAGGGACCATTTCACAAACATTTACTTTGCGCTTTGTGTTGCCCTGTGCATGAAAGGCGCTCTACAAATAAACTTTGATTGATTGATTGATTGATACTTCAAAAGTAGATAAAGTTCATTACAGTTTATGTACAGTTTTATTAGATACCTTCGAAATTCACTTGTGTTCAAACATGAGTGAATGTTGACAATGCAAAAAGTTAATGAGTGTAGCCTAGATTAATGCCTAGATTACAACCAACAGAGATTCAAAAGCATTCAAAAGCATTTTGATGCATTTGGGTGTAGCCCAAAAACACAATAGTAGATATTTAGATATTGAGAAGTTTCCGGCACAAATACCATTGTAGAATAACTGACCCCAACCCCAAACCTGCTCAAATAGATTAGCTCTTGTAAGGATAATACTAATTTGATTAATGATGTTCATTCATCCCGAACTGCCTGACAATAATATCTTTAGATAATAAAAAGTAATAAATCACTGACCACTATAGAAGTGTAAATGTTGACCATTTGCCTTACTGTGTTCACAGTTTTATTCCTGAAAATGTAGAAGAGAGATAGAACAAAATCCCACTGATAATAAGCCACTGATAATGAGAGTATAAAACCATAGAGAGATTTTTTAGATTAAAATGTATGTTTAAGAATATGGCTCAATAAAAGCAAATATGCAAACATATCTGTAAATAGATTAGAATAGTTTTAAACTAGGGGCGACAGTAGCTCAGTTGGTAGAGCATTGGCCTTAAGGCCAGAAGGTCGTGGGTTCAATTCCCACCTCTACACCTTCTCCACCAACTCCCACTGATGACTGCTGTCGTTGTGTCCTTGGGCAAGACACTTAACCCCACTTTGCCCAAAGCCCCCACTGAAAGATCAAGGCTATGCTCACACTCAGAGCAGCCGTCCTCCTGTGGACTCACCACCTGCAGAGGGTCAGTGAGGGGCTGGTGCTATGAGACTTGGGTGGCATCTCTGACTGCCACCCCCCTGACCCAGAAATGGATTAAAGGGTAGAAAATGGATGGATGAGTGGATGGATAGTTTTAAACTATAGTAAATAGAAAGTAAAGTACACAGTCTAAGATTAAAAAGTGAAAATAATACAGTGAAATAAGTGTAGTGTAAACAATTATCATTAGAATAAAAATATAGAGTAAGAAAAGTGAAATTAGCTTCTAATTTGAGACAACGTTTTTGTCTGTGTTTTGTCTGAATCTGCTGAGTTCTTGTGTGTCCAATAGAGTTTGTTTGTTTTTATTTTTGATTTGTTTTTGTTTGTTTGTTTATTTTTCCCAGGATAGAGGATAACATCCACTGATATTGATTTGATGATTATTAGTTTAATGCATACATTTTCTTTGTTTTTAATAATTTTTTAAAAGTTTTTTTTAGAATGTTTTCTTTTTTTTCTTTTTCCACTTTATTGATTGATCAAATTGAATGATCACATGTGATTATGTGATCAAAGGGGAGGGTGTTAGTATTAGATAGCAATATGGCCTACGTGCAGGACTCTACAAGGACTCTACAAGGACTCCATGTTATGACTATGATTTGACTGTCTCTTTGTGACACGTATGTCTTTCGATGTGTGACGTGACAATGACTATATAAACTGTGTACTGCCTTTATTCTGTCTGAGAGAAAGAAACAAAGTAAACCAGTGGAACTTGAGAGAAACTTAAATAAACTTCCAGAGTTTGGCGCACCACGATCCGTCTCTGTCTGCTAAATCCTAACAATTCTCTGACCCGTGTTGACGATTTCAATGGTTTTGCTATGTTCTCTGAGAGGACTATTGTTGTGATTTAGGGTTATACAAGAATACACTGAATTGAATTGAAAAATCTCCAGGAGCTGATGGCAGACACAGCCCTAACTGAACTACCCATGTGCCTCTCACAGTAATTCTTGCTTTTACTCCTGTTTCCCTTCAGAATTGATGGTGTTTAGGGAGTCCATCTGAATCCTGGCTGCTGTACTGGTCCAGACTGCTCTATACTGACCCAGGCTGCTGTATACTGAACCAGGCTGCTGTATACTGACCCAGGCTGCTGTATACTGACCCAGGCTGCTGTATACTGACCCAGGCTGCTGTATACTGACCCAGGCTGCTGTATACTGACCCAGGCTGCAGTATGCTGACCCAGGCTGCTGTATACTGACCCAGGCTGCTGTATACTGACCCAGGCTGCAGTATGCTGACCCAGGCTGCAGTATGCTGACCCAGGCTGCTGTATGCTGACCCAGACTCTGGTATACCGACCCAGGCTGCAGTATACTGACCCAGGCTGCAGTATACTGACCCAGACGGCTGTATACTGACCCAGGCTGCTGTATACCGACCCAGGCTGCTGTATACCGACCCAGGCTGCAGTATACTGACCCAGGCTGCTGTATACTGACCCAGGCTGCTGTATACCGACCCAGGCTGCAGTATACTGACCCAGGCTGCTGTATACTGACCCAGGCTGCTGTATACTGACCCAGGCTGCTGTATACTGACCCAGGCTGCTGTATGCTGACCCAGGCTGCTGTACTGTTTCAAGGCTGCTGTATTTGTATCTCTTTATTTGTTTAATGAGCCAATACCTGTCAATGAACATATAGGTTGAACAGGTGTGTCTGTGGTAAATGTAGAAATGCCTGGTTGCAGCCAAAGGTCAATATTCCTCCGTAAAACCAGGGCGGCTGGAGTTACAAGGGATTATATACAAACACAGCAGATGCAAGAATACATCAACAACAGGAAGTCACACACATGTTTACAGTTTTACAGCGTAGAGCAATTCTAAACAAAAATGTGTTGTATTTAACCCACATTTATTGCACACAACCCCATGTATTGCACATGTCTTGCTTCTATTGCACTCATATACTTGTAGTCATTGTTTGCCGCTCTGATTGTCCAGGAAACATGACATCAACTGATTAGTGAAGGAGTTGAATGATGGCAGTTCCCATATTGAGTTTGGGATTTTGTTCCAAGTCTGTGAGGCGTAGTAGGAGAGGAGACCAAAAACACTTTTTCTTTGGAGAATAATACAGTCGCCCCGAGAACTTGTTGTACTGGTTCAGGCTGCTGTGCTGGTCTGATGCTGCTGTACTGGTACAATGCTGCCATAATAGTCCAAGGCTGCTATACTGGTCCAGCTTGTAGATGCCTTTTTGGTACATTGAATTGTTTGGTTCTCCAAGTGACATCATTGGTAGGTTGTTTAGCAGGTGAAGTAAAACTAAAGCCTCCAAGGAACATAAACTGCAAACTAGATAATGTATTATTAATTTATTATAAACAGTAATGAAGATTAAGCGTAAACGGTAAATTAGTTTGCGTTGGCTAAATCTGCAATAATATTTTCATGAACATAATCAAACTAAAATAGGGGCAGAAGTCTCATGTGTCTGTAGTTTCTGTTCCCTCTCATGAGATGGTGTATAAACTTTTATTTGAGACCTTTCCTCAATCCTATGGGATTTTCCCATAGATGCACAATATCTGAATGGGGTAATTCTAGTCCATCTCCAGCAAGGACAAGGCATCTTAAATTCACACGGGCTGTACAAGAGATTTTCCCCATAGACCTCAAAGTTACCTAAAAGGGCTCGTCCTCAGCTGCACCTACTGTGCAAGACCAGGAGGAGCAGAGCTGGCCAAAACACGCCACTCTCGCTTGTGTGGAACGGTCATGGTGCGAGCATGTGCCAATGAGCTCTGAGCAGTGAGTATTTTAGCCATTGATTTGAATGGGCAGACATCTTGGAGACCCAGAGTTTGGATTTTCTATTGAGCTTGGCGAACAGAAAGAAGTGGTCCTCCTTTGCTCATTTCTTTTCAGGGGGCTGGGCTTAGCATGAAAAAAGGTATTTAGTAACTCATAGCTTGTCTCACAAGTATGCAAAAAATATCATGTTTTTAATAAGAAAAATATATGTTTATTTTACGTTTACAAGTCTTTTTGTTGAAACAAACAAAATGTATCAATTATGAGGGGGAGAAATGTAGGTATTTTTTAATTTTCATAGAATCTATAAAAGATCAGCAATACAATAACAAACCAACAATTATGGACATATCTTAACTGCATACAATTGTTCAATGCATAATGATAATGACAATGCAACATTCTGAATGTGTTCTAGTTAAGGCACATAGTGGTCGGTCTGGGTTTATTATATTAGCTGTACATATTACACATAGGCTGCTTGTATCCACACATAAAGTCCGGCCATACACTATATCTCTTGTTATATGGAGCTTTTTCTAAACATTTTGCAAGCTCTCTGTCACACTTGCAGATGACCTTTTCACACATGTCCTTTGGATCCTCTGTAAACAAACAGAAAAGACACGCCGTTTGTTTGTTTTTTTAAGAAAAAAGGAAAAGGTGTTTTAAACATGAAATCCTATGATGGCAAAAGGAATTTATTGATTCAAATCAATAAATGTGTGCAAGGAAGTAAACATGTTGTGTGTGTAAATGATCCTTATGAAACAATCAAAGTGGTCATGATCTGCCAGCCCTGGATCAGTGACACTCCCTGTGTGTGATTGGACAGATGCATGAATGCAGAGGTCAGTGAGCTTGTGTCACACCTTCTGTGGGAAAACAGTTTACAGTGTGCATACTTATATCGTGTTGGCCTTTTATGTTTGCTGCAGAAATGTGCGGGCATACACAGAAAACCACATAGAAATAACTTTGCTTACTTAGGTGGAAAAAAAAACATGTTTATTTAGGGTATTTATTATAACTCTACACTGACTTGACTCAGTTTAGTGTTTCATACCACATTTTGAGGACCATTTTCCAGATTGATAGTTAATCACCATGGCACCAGTTGTCATTATTTATTAGCCTGCTTTGTACTATCAACAACATTTAGTTTCCCCATCTGTATGTGAACGCCTAATGCCTAAGCTAAGCTGGGCTGTGATGGGAGACCTCTGGCAACAGCACATGTCATAGTGGGGCTGCTGTGACTGTGGCAAAATGTTGCTGTGTCCTTAGGCAAGACATAGACTGTTGCGCGCGTGTGTGTGTGTGTGTGTGTGTGTGTGTGTGTGTGTGTGTGTGCATGAATGATTGGTTGAAGAGGCTGGTGGCACAGGTTTGTCGCCTCACTTTCGCCAGGGCAGCAGTAGCTTACTTAAAGCTTTATCATTATATTAGAGGTATTTATTAGTATTTCCTCACTAACTGTGTTTCCATTGCCTTCTTTTAAATGTGCATTTGGAAGTATCCCATCCTAAGTGATACTGGTAAATGTCAACTTTTGGACAATGCTGCTTTTCACCTGTTTTTATGCATTATGTCACCTCTCTAGTGGAGAGCCTGGAGAATTCATTGCTTTGACTCAAATGTTTCACAAAAGTCTATGGAGACAGAGGTCAAATAGAACTCATATTGAAAGTATTATTGGGAACAAGTAATTTTATAAATGCAAGAAGACATAACATTGAGCAGCCTCGAAATAAAAAAATAACTTTAACTCTCAGAAATCCGTTAGAGTATGTTTTTTTGTATGAATACATATTTGATCATGCAATTTTAAAGTAGTGCTAGAATTTAATATGCTGCTATCCAGAATATAGAACTACAATATGTGTTTATAATATTTCGGGTGTTCATTTTGACATTATGAATTATGTTAAACTGCTTTGAAGTGGCACCTTTTCACTTCCGCATAGAAACGCTAGGGGGCGCCAAAATGGCGGCGATGACGTAGGAGAATGACCTCTCACAGCAGCAGCAGCAGTCTGGAAACTGTAGGAGGTTTCACTGTCATCTGAACAACGTATAAACATATTTTCATCCGTTTTGTACATAATAGTGCGCAACTCTTTTAACCTTTTAGCCTTATTTGTGAGATTCAAGCTAATTAGTGTTGGGCAAGTTAGCTAACTCTACTTGATTTCATAAAACATGCTAACAAGGCTAATATTCGTTTTTACATTATGCCAGTCTCACTTTGGTTGCCTTAGATTTATTTACCACAATGTACATTGTAATATCCATAAATGCTAACACCTATTAACGGTTTAATTAGCATTTTTATCAATGATTGCATCACATGTAGTCTATGTTTTCAACTTCTGCAGCTTTTTGTTCATAAAAGTAAAATATTTATTTAATTCAAGTTATTTTGATTAGCATTTATGGATATTACAATGTACATTGTGGTAAATAAATCTAAGGCAACCAAAGTGAGACTGGCATAATGTGAAGACGAATATTAGCCTTGTTAGCATGTTTTATGATATCAAGTAGAGTTAGCTAACTTGCCCAACACTAATTAGCTTGAATCTCACAAATAAAGCTAAAAGGTTAAAAGAGTTGTGCACTATTATGTACAAAACGGATGAAAATATGTTTATACGTTGTTCAGATGACAGTGAAACCTCCTACAGATTCCAGACTGCTGCTGCTGCTGTGAGATCCCCTTCTCCTACGTCATCGCCGCCATTTTGGCTCCCCCTAGCGTTTGTGAAAAGGTCCGACTTCAAAGCTGTTGTTTTAACATAATTCATCTGAACATGTCAAAATGAACACCCGAAATATTATAAACACATATTGTAGTTATATATTCTGGATAGCAGCATATTAAATTCTAGTACTACTTTAATGTTGTATGCCAGTGTTTCGAAAATTCAAATTTTTACAAAACAAAACATGCATTCAAACTTTTAATCCATAGCTACAATGTTACACTGGTATTCTGGTTGGATTATGCAAAATAGTATACTTTGATTGCATTGCACAATCACTAGTATTGTCCAGTATTGTATTCTAAATTAGTTTACGCTCATTTGCATAATGTTATGTTAACTCCGCACTCCTACATACATTTTTTTTTTCTGACTGGTATTGAAGCAGTTACAGCATCTACAGCTAGTTGAGATAATTAAGAAACATAGCTACTACTTATTTTGAATTTTGTATATTTTGTGGGATCCCTGTGTGCTCTTACTACTGTCCTGTATGTGCGCTGCAACATCGAAATTTCCCCACTGTGGGACGAATAAAGGAACTCTTATCTTATTATAGATTCCCCACAACACTGTTTATACTATTTATATTTGGGATAGTAAACAAAAACATAAAACATTAGCATGATAAACATTTTCATCCACAAATTGTGCAAAGGTGGTTTACCACATTCAGCCTTTTTGTCCTCACAGATCCAGTCATAGTTCCTTGTTTTGGTCTGGCAGCCGACAACTTCAGCCTCTCCATAACAGCAATCATGTCTGTGGCAACACCTGGATTAAACACAATGGAGCATCGCGTTATTCCAGCACGACCCTTTCCCAGTCAGGGGCCAGTGGGAGGATAGTCACATTGGCGTGCTCAAAATCACACCACAGCTATTTTAAAGGCAGGGAAGGAGTCACCCAGCAGCAGCCTTTTATAACACATACTTAGCAGTTGGTTTTGGGAAGGGTTTGGTGTCTGTTGTGGCCGATAGAGGAAAAGAAATACAGCAATAAGGAAAGAGGAGGGAGTGTTTTAAAATATCCCCGTCAAGGTTGATTTTAGACTTCCGTGAGACATTTATGGTCAAATGGAAAGTGTGTAAACAAGTGGGTAAAAGGGAACAGAAATGGAGTGTATCCAAAGACGAGGAGCCTCTTGAGCACGTGAAATAACAGGCTTTTCTTCATAATGGATAGGTGGATCCTACAAGTGCCAGTGGTCTATTTAACATCTGCTGGAGACCTTTTTAAAATCCCAAAAAAATCCATCCATCCATCCATCCAAAAAAATCAGATATTCAAAATATATATTAAATTACGGTTGTGCTTAAAAGTTTGCACATCCGATCTAATTTCATTCAAGAAAAATGCATTCATTGCTAGTAGTTATACCATCCACAAGACTTCGAGCACTAACAATGAGTTTAACATGTCAACATTTGGGACATTATGTTCCACAAAGTGTTATCATTCAAAATCTCCCAAAAATGGCCCAAAATGTGTTTGAAATGTCGGCCTGGGCACTAAACTTTAGTGTCTAAACTGTACATTTTCCATGATTGAAAAATCTCCTTCAACCGCATGTAAAATGTTCATATGCCACAGCTTCAACCACTAGTAAAGATCTACTACAAAGATCAAAAGGGTTCATTAATTGGATTGGATCATTGGCAATTGGATCAATGATTTTATTTTCAGTAAAACGTTATAATTAATGGTCACTTACAGCATAGTAAAAGTCATAATTTACTGGACTATAAAGGCGGGTCGGCTCAATGTTTATTCTGCATTTATGAGGTTTGACATGCCTTATAATATAGTTTAAGGATTCCAATGTGTTATTTGTGGTCAGAGAGGATGGAGTATACAATCTCTAGACAGGAAGTATTTTGTTTTACACGGTTTAACCATAGATTTTTATTTACTGATTTAGCAAAAAAAGAAAATATTGGAAAAACATCTGAATCCCTGCTGTGATGTAGTTTACTGGAAATCCATATCCTTTTCATGGATTTGCTCTGATCATTTGCCAGATTGCCATAAGGTTGTTGTTATTAGTCTGCTTTATCACTGGCAGGCATTGCCTTTTAAATAGCCAATAACATCAATCAGTCAATGTACAATATCATAAGAATAAGCATAAGTGTCCAAATGTACAGTAAAACATACAATTTATTTTAATGTGAGCAATATGGCGACGCAGAATGTAACCAGATCCCATTGACAATATGCCGTTTTGACGATTGTTTGTATTGGTCAAACACTGAGTCAGAAGTGGATCTATCACTCACAATGAAGTGCCAAAGTAAATGCAAATAGAGTAAGGGAACGAATTAATTATGATATATACAATTATGATCAAGGCTCTGAAATATTGTGTGGACCTCCACTATAATAAGGAATACTGAATACATCCTAAAACTGAATGAACTATTTCTCTTTTTACCCAGGACCTTTTTATTACATTTGATGAAGACTTGGACGAAACAGAGACTTCAAAGCACTACAGCACTTTTCTGTTCATGCACTCCCATGTTCCTTTTTTATTTTTATACTTTCATGCAGCAAATTTCCCTTGGGGACAATAAAGTTTATCTTGTCTCATATTATCTTACTTGTTACTTAAGTGTCCACAGAGTAATGTAGTAATACATGTCCTTTACCAGTCTGCTCGGTCCCTGGGCCAGCCCTGGCCCCCCAGTCCGCAGTAGCAGCCGTACATCAGGTAGGACCAAGCCGATCGCCCAGTGCTGCACTTGATTGCTCCCGCCAGCTCCAGCAAACCACGTTTACTCCTGTGGGACCTGTGTGTCGTCATGGCACTCGCTGAGACTACAAAGAAACAACAAGATACAGTCTGTGAGAGGTTCTCAGGATGCGGTATCAGGACAATTGGTGGTACACTTACATCTTAATTAAGATCAACTTTTTGTAGAGAGTTCTAGAGATAGTTGTAAATTAACACAACCCAGTTTGTGTGAATTCTAAAAAGTTGCACCACTATTATGACTTTAGTTACAGTATTTGGTTTCAGTTCAAGTTTTCAGTTTTTTCTTTTTCAGCCAAATGTTAAACATGTTGTTTGTGTTGGTATGCTTATATAAATAACTTATGCATACCATACAAGTATAGGTCAGAGCCAGCAGTCAAATACATGAGCAAAAGGTGGGGAACTGAAATTTAATATACATGAATATGCATTTGCACAGATTCCATTAAAAAGTTTGTTCATGATTAAGGATAAAACTGCATTCACACCTCAAACACGTTTTAACCAGCAGAGAAAACTAGTGTGTTTAACATGTAAACATTTGGGACATTATGTACCACATTTCTGCTCTTCACCACTGAATTGCACGCATTGTGAGGGAGATTATTCATCAATTGTGTGTCAAAGTATTTACTCAAGATAGGACAAATACACATCTAGACACCTGCGGCTTGTAGCAAAGGGAAGAGCCATGAAGAACTGAACCAAGGAAAGTATATAACAAAGGTAGTCTGAGGCACTCTGTTTTAGTGAAAAAATTAAAAGTCCTTTAATGAAATGGACTGCCTACGCGTTTCGACCAACAGCGGTCTTCGTCAGGGCATGCCCTGACGAAGACCCCTGTTGGTCTTAAAGGACTTTTAATTTTTTCACTAAAACAGAGTGCCTCAGACTACCTTTGTTCTCTTCTGACTTTCTACATGCTTAGATTGCCCCGTCTTCGAAGAGCACCTGTTTTTATTGCCTTCTACCACACGTACCCTCTGCAGCACTCACCTTTTTTACTTTTAACTCAAGGAAAGTATATATTGTATATTGTTTTGTAGAATTACCTTTACTTTAAGCTAATAAAGATACAATTGTATCATAGTGGAAACAATAGATAAAGTATACTAGTGAGACATAAAACAAAAGAAAAAAAACAACAAAATTTAAGTTTCTTACCACATAATAACAACAATATCCCATGAAATGAAGCCATGACACGAAATAAGCAGACAATCTCTCTCCAAAAAAGGCAAACACGAAGTGAGAGAAGTTAAAGGGAGGAGAGCTTTTATGATGCTGTCTCAATAAGCTCCTCAGACATCACTGTTGGCCACTACCCAAGTGTTTGTAAACGGAAGCGCCCTCCAGCGGGGATGGCCCCAAATAGCACTGCTTTTAGAAAAGGATAAAAGAGAAATTCTTTCCCACGTGATATTTACAATAGTAATGATTAGACGTTTTGGATTAAAAAAAAGAAAAAAGAAAAAGAAAAATTACAAAAGCAATAAAAATATATACTTTTTGTTTTATTTTATAAAAGACAACATGTGTCAGACCCATAGACTGTAAATATCAAGACCGGGAAGACGCCATAAAAGGTGCAAGCCTTTACCATGACTGTGTCATGAATTTGATTAATTTGTTTGGCAGCGGATACTCCCTTCACTTGCACAATTATGTGACCATAACAGCAACTGAAACAGAATATAAATCAGGCCAAACGTGATAAAAAATAATGCACTGGCGCCTTCTGCCGGCAGTGTCCTTCCATTACACTAGTAAGGTGTACACAAATTAAGGTCAAGTTTAATAAATCAAGATTTTGTATATTTTTTTTTAACTTACATGATATGTTGACATGTATAATATAAACATAAATAATAATGCAATAAAATGGGAATAATACAGAGGGCATTCTTTACGTCCTTCATAGCCATTCGAGATCTTTTTTTCCTCTTATATTTCTTGTGCCTTGACCATGGAGTTGCATTGCCTCAGTGTATCCAGCAGGGGGCAGAGCTCAGCTGTCAGTTTGACTCCGTGTCCCGGTAAATAAGACAGCGAGGAAGACACAAAGGGCGGCCTTCACTTAGCTCCAGCTCTAGTTATTTTAGCTTAATCGAAATAAACAATTCCCCTGCGTTTATCAAACCGATACGAGGTTTGTCTGGGGCCACAGATCCATTCATGTAAGTACAAGAACAGTGCTGTTGTGGAGGCTGTGATGGCGCACTGGGTTCCACTCATCTCCCCTGCGCTTTTGTTTGCGTTAAGGAACTACTTCAACTTGTTCAAACCTCTGCTTTGTTAGGGCACTCCACTTCCTACAAACTTATTTGCGTCACGACATGGCCGAGAACGTGTCCGCGTACTGTCTCCGGAGCAAATACATACATTTATTTGCAAATGTCTTCCATTTGCGTCCAGTTACCGCAGTTATTTAGTGCTATGTGAGATGTAGCGCCTTGGGCTAGCTCTGCCTGTGTCCGCGGTCTACACACGTGTGCTAAGAGCCCTAGTTCCATTATCGGACACACCGTAGATGGCTGTTTTTTCGTAATGTTAAGGGTATAGTTGGTGAATTTCTTCAGTAACAACATGGAATGACGAGTTGACTGAGTGCATAAAGCAAGCCTATGTACGTGAGTGTCTATGGGGACTCAAGACAGCCTTTTTGGAGCGGTGACATCAGTCCTGCGCGGCTAAAATGACATTCCCATATGAGCTGTAGGAGCTATAATGTGTCTGACAATTTAATGAAAGCGGTAGTGTACGTGTGTTTAGGTTTTACTTATGACTTGCTTTAAGATTTTGGCTTACATAAAAAATAATATTTTGTTTCCGGGGATGGTGTAATAGATGGATATCCGCCTTGATTTTGTCATCAGCAATAGTACGGCCTATACAGATACATTTTTTTGCATGCGAATAAAGAAAAAAAGTAAGCAAATGATAACCAGAACCTGTTTTGGCTGGTTCTGGCCGACTAAATGACGATTAGGGTAACCATCTCTTAAAACTGTTCTCAAACGGGACACGAATGTGGTGAGACCGGGTGAGACACGTACTCTTGGAAGTTAAACATCGAAGCTCATGAGGGCACAGACATATGTTATTCACTTTTTTGTTTAGATTTTTTTTTTTATATAACTGATTGGCAATGATTACACTGAAATAGTTGTCAACAAAATGACCCACAGTAGAAACTGTTTTCCACCTTGACATGTATTGGATTATATAGCTCCCTAGTTTTGGTTACAGTTACTGCTACCACTAAAGACAAAAATACTTTAAATGATTTCCTTCCCCTTCATAACCTTTATATCATATCATGATACATTTCTTGGTGAAGCCAACTACACTGACCTCTACTCTGGGTACTGTTTGATTTGGCATAATCTTGTTTGTACCTATCAGGGCTCTTTCCATTGTCAAACAGAATGGGGTGGAACATGTTATGTGCCAATGCAAATGTGCACTACTCTGATTTCACTGACGTTTGTTTTCTTTCTTTTTCCTATACTCTGCAGAAATGTGTCTGTGAATCTGTAAATGACCAATATGGCTTTGTGAATTATCCAAATAGTGTGACATGTTAGACAGTGTTGATTGGGTATAATGTAAAGTGTGAAATAAATCACATGATAATACCAATGTTTTATTGCAGGTATTGACTGGAGTTAAACATTGATGCACATAAACATGTCTGGAGCATGTCAGGACAGAAGAAGCCGCTGGCAGGAGATTCAGAAAGGCCTGCAGTTTATTGAGTAAGTAACAAATGATGATGTGACCTTTTTTATGTACACATGTCCAGTTTATCCAGTAAGCAAGTGAAACATGAGATCAGGTCCTGTCCATATACTGCTTTGCCTTGTGGGCATCCTGCACATTCACAATACAAACATTTCTAACCCAATGTTGAAGACCAGAACATGATACTCTTTCTGATTCATGGTGATCATTCATGTTATGAAAATACAGTACAATTGATGACAAAGTTTTGAGGACAAAATTAACCTATATAAGTTATTCAATCAAAGCATTTTAAGATCGATATAAAACAAATAATCATAGATCCTAAAGATGAGCTATAAACACTGTAAAACAAAGGAGACCTTGATATAACAGCTGTTCATACAAAAAAAGGAAACTTTCAGCCCTCGACCCAAAAGGTTTTCGACAACCCTGACCTAAATGTTGTAATTTTACTTGGAAATGTCTACAGTTTGTCATTAGACTTTCTATTTGCATCGGAATCAAGCGTCACTAGTTTAAAAACAAAAAGGGAAAAAGCCCTGGGGCAGTCGGACTTAACTTCTACAATCTTGTCATGTGAATGTGATCTTCCGCTCTCTTTATTACCACCTGTGACCACTTGACATTACTTGCCTGATGAAGACCCGAGAGGGTCAAAACCTGTTCCAATGTCCCTTCTACAATAAAGGATGATTAAGTTAAGTCAATGCCTCGGCCCTTTTTCCTCTTTGGCTTTTTCTTTATTTTCCCACGGATCCTTGAAGAGCACCTGATTACTCACAATTACCCTGTATTTTTTTATCCCTGTATGCACTCACTCCTTTTGCATTATTGAATTGAATTGAATTATTGCTTCACTAGTTTAAGGGGATGAGAGGAAAACGTTACTTTTCCCTCAGCATTTGTATAAATCTTTATTTTATTAGATGGATACCAGCCCAAAATCATGATGCAACAATGATGCGCTTACTGTCTTACATCATGTTTTTCTTTTGTTTATATGCACTGTTGCCAGGATACCACAGCTGATTCGGTGTAATTTATATCCTGAATTCTTCCAGAAATGTTTTACCACAAAGGCATCTGCACGGAGTATTGTACATATGTCTGTACATGAATGATCTGTTCTTGGTACCCCACTTCCATAGCTAATGCCTGAATTCATGGTTTTCATTTTAGTTTTCTATTTCTAAAGTAAAATGTACTGTGCATTTGGCTTATCATAAGGGCAGTAAAATCTAAGATTCAACAAAATTTAGTAGTAGTTTTTATTTGGATTTATTAATTGTGCAATACAATAAAAAAAAAAAGTAAAAAACATACATACACAATTATTTCTACTCAAAGTCATTTCATTTTGTGAGCCTACATAGTGCAGTGCATAATAACAGTGGGTAGAATGAGACTAGATTGAGAGAGGGCAGAAACATGGAATTGGGATTAGAAAAAACGAAGTATACATCAAAATATTGTATTCCATCAACCAAATGCAACACTCATTCGCATTATTGTGAGCAGTTTTAACATCATGAATGCGCAACATTATTGTTTTAAAATCAAAGGTTTTTGGCCACTGTTACACCTTGAGAATTGCTTAAATAATAAATACTTAGCAGTGTGGGGCTGCATTTGCCAAGGTTATTAGCAGAGCTGTGATTTAGCTGAGAGGTTTTTAAAAGTGTATTTACTCAATCTCTTGTCGCGCTGTAATGTTCGCCATTTCACAAACCAGTTTTTCCTCTGTCACGTGTTAAATATAGTAAAGGCATTGTGTGGCAAAACTGAAAATATTCTTTTCTCAACCAAATGAAAGCAAACTGGTGCATGTTGTTCCTCACCAATTATCACTGTTAAACATTTAATTTTATCTTTTAGATCGACTCTCCCATTTCCTGGAAGCCCAGACCAGTATGAGGTAATGCACATTTGAGTATGGGATTTTTGTGGGTTTCTTGATTTGTATTGTCAGGCTTGCAAACTGCACAACACAAAAATTCAATCCATATCCATGCAAGGCATTGGGATATACATCCTTTTGAAGAATAAGTAATGCAGATTTGTGCTGGCATGCCATTTTATTTTAGATCGAGTTTTTGTGCAACTAGGAAGATAATTTGTTTCGGGACCAGATTGTGACAAATCACAGCGGACCACTGGCCCCCACTTTCTTGAGAAAAGCTATAGGTCTCTTGTTGGCACAGACAGCTGAGGTAAACAAGCGGCAGAGGCTAACCTGAAACTTCCCGTGTCTTCGTTACCGGTTAGGTTCTATCATTCTATGGTCACGCCATCCACGTTCAAATGTGCGATCCATATTGTGAGACGTGAGCTTCGTAAACACAGGCTGAGTGGGAGGGGGGTAGTGGGGGGGCAATAGCTCCATGAGTGCGGGGAGGGGGAGCAGAAAGAGCGAGGCCAGCGTTCACATTCGAAAATTTCACAAAGTGAGTTAGTGCAGCGTTAACTTTCTAAAAAGAAAAAGTCCATATATTTGCATATAGTCACTACTTCTTGACACATAATTAGACCATAGGTGGATATGGACTGATAAAGATGTGGAATTTGAGAATTTGGATCTAGACTGGATCAGAAAAAACAAAAACAATTGTAAACCGCTTTGACTCAGGTCTGTGAAAGGCGGTATATAAATAAAAATTACTTACTTAAAGATTACTTAGACTAAGACCAGAAGTTTGACTTTCAACACTATCAGAAAATATTTTTCAGCTACCCTCAATTTTTTTTTTCTTTTTGGAATATTGGGTATTTTTCCTTATCTTTTGAAGGGTTGTCTTAAAAAACAGGTGCATGTCTTTTTTTTTTTTTTTGCAGCCTTAACTCTTCCACCAAACATACGCATCAATAGAAACTATGTATGCATAGTTTGAATACAGACAAGGGCAGATCTTTTCTCGTCTATATTGTCTTTGTCTTACCATTTTATTATGAATAAATCCACACTAATCTTCCTCTTACAGGTTTTTATTAAGGATCTAGTGTTGAACCTCTTTGGAGAAGGAAATGATGTGTACAAAGAAGGAGAATGGGCCAAGTCTATAGAGATGTACACTGAAGCACTGAGCGTAGCAGACTATGCCGACTCTGAAGACATATGCGTCTGCACTGGGCTCATCGAGAAGCTGTACGCAAACCGAGCCGCCGCTTACCTTAATATTACTGTGAGTAAAGCCGGATATATTCATATATACTGGACTTTTGAAACAGATTTAATTTGTGCTAAGGTCCTGTCAAGATATCAAAAACATACTGCAAATAATGTGTTTTTTCTGTAACAAGTGGGTCTGCAAAAGTGATTCTGGGTCACATTACAAGTAGAGCAATAACTTCACCATGCCAACAAGATTTTCTGATGCCCTGTCAAAGATAATGTATTTAATATTATTTTTGTTCTAGCCCACTATATTACTCAATACTAAAATCTGTGTCAAATGTATTTATATTGCACACATACAACTTCAAGAGCCCAAAGTGCAGTGCACTGCATAATATAGGCAAGTCTATTTGTACAGCACAATTCATACACAACTCAAGTGCTAAACAAAACTACATAGAAACAACCACACGAGGCATTGAATTAATAAAATGCACACACACATGTGTGCATTCACACGCTACCCACTGAACTGCTGCACTTTGCATCAGAGCAATTTGGAGAAGTGTGGAATCTTTCCCTTTTTGGGGAAAATTGGTTGCGCCTTTCTAATATCTTAATGGAGTTTAAAAAATGTTGTATGGCGACACTAATCTTAGCCCAGTAGTAGATTCCATATTACCAAATTTTCCCATAGTTATTTCAATGAATGATGTATACGTTAGCATACTAACCTTTGTCTTTGTTAATGTACAAGAATGAACACAATGGTCTGCACTGTTTTGTCCTGACTTCTGAATGTCATGAGGTGTACTTGGTCTCTAATCAATTATAGAAAATGAATTCTACTTTACATCAGTTAGACACTTTGATCACCTGACTTGTTCATTTACCGCTGCAAAAGTCACTGCTTGTAAGATATTTTTTAGGACGTATCTTTTGTTAGAAGTGATAATAATAGAAGTCTCACATTATTCATTCAGTCCCTCTGCTCTGTGAAGAAATATGTTCATTTCATTAATATGCAAGGTAACTGTGCACCAGAAAGCTATTAAAATTGTTGAGGTCGGTAACAATTTAAGCAATTAATCATAACTGATGATTGATTTTTTTTTTTTTTAACCTCCGGTAGATTTTAACACGTTGAAGAGATTCTGATTTAGAATGATTTAATGTTTAGAAAACATGTAATTTAAAACTACCAAGTCATATCTACAAAGATGTCCTTGAGGGGCATCACTTGAGTTTTGTGTTGGTCAAATGTCTTAAAAAAAACAAACACATTTTGGGATCTAAACAACAAATGCTTTGTCAAAATATTAACTACAGCCCTAATTTTGGTTGCAGAATATGGATTTCATTGTAGCTGATGCTCTGAATCGAATGCCTAAACTAAAAATCATATTGATGATATTGTCCGTATTTACATTTTGAAAGTAGATTTAACTGGGATTTACTGCATGGGACAAACAAAGGAGCTCTTTTAGCTCTGTGTAGCATTCGGCTTCCTTTTCAAGTGTGATGTTGTAAACTTTGTCTTTTTAACCAGGGCCTGTCTGATGCTGCTCTTGACGACTGTGAAAAAGCTCTCCAGCTGAATGAAGGCAACTACAAAGCTCTGTTCAGGAAAGCCAAGTCCTTGAAGGATCTGGGGAGACATCAGGAGGCCTATGAGGCCGTTGCCAAATGTTCTCTCGTGGTGCCTCAGGTGAGAAGCCTATCTGCAGCTTTTCATAATTGCTTCATGAGCGCAGAGAATCTTCTCCTCTTGTTTATATAAATGTGACAAACTTAGAGGTAGATTAAAGCACCACAATGGCTGCCACAGGTGCTTTGTATGCTCTGGTATTTTTCCTTACATAATCACACCTTAATGTAAAATGTGGAAATGCTGCACATAGTTTGGAAGTTTAAAACATGTTTTTCAAAGTGCTTTACAAAGGTCTGTCTAATATATACTTTTATGCCTTTCACTATATATATACTTTTTTTCTATCTGCAGTAAGTCTGTTTTGCTCTACAGGATCCCAGTGTAATGCAGTTGACTCAGGACCTTGCCAAAATGTTAGGGTTGAAAATTCGAAAAGCTTACGTAAGGACTAAGGTTAGCTTCTTTTTTTCATATTCATTTGTGTGTCATTGATGGAAGGAAGTGACTATCATGAGGTGTTTTGGAAACCAGTTAAACAGGTGTCTGTAATGCCACACTATAAAGTTTGAATGCAAACTGAAATCATCAACCTAGAAATAATGTTGATGTAATGTTTGTTTGAACAGCCCGCCTTGAATGTTTTAAGAGGATCGTCTTATCAAGATGCATCATCTGAAAAGGTCAGTTGGTGAATAATGTTCATGCCACTGCCTGTTCCTTAGAACTAATGACTGTTTTATTACTTTCATACAGTTTTTTAATGGTCTGTCTTCAGTTGAAGATATAGAAATGGGTAAGTGGAGCTCATCACATTTTGGTTTATAAGCTGCAATGGAATTCTTTAGAGGCAGAATATTGAAGAGAAAGTTCTTGCTGAAAAGCTAAAAAGGGGGTTGGGCATGTACCACATTTAAGGCTTTTTAATGGTTTTACATACATGCCAGCTAAAGTGTTCTATTTGGGGGCATGGTAAGCCCAGGTTTTAAGCGTAAACTCATAATTACCATTTATTTCATTGATGCAGTTGGTGTCTTAACCATTGCATTCAAAATATTTATATAAAAAAAAACAACAAAGTCTTAAAAGGTCTGTTTTCTCAGCAAACCTTGAGCTACCCTGGCAATTGAAACAGCACAGTAGATTCATGTTGGTCTCTCTTTTGCAGAAGTGCCTCTGTTAAATCCCGATAGTGTTTTGGCTTCAGTCCCGGCTCCTGTCCCCGTCCCGTCGCAGTCACCTCTGATAGAGGGGATATTTGATGAGCGTCCTCCCAGCACCAGTCTCTCTGGTGGGACCCCCGCGGACTCCAAACCCCCAGGCTTTGAGTCGGTCCTCCTGCCTGTGTCTGTGCCGCCCTCCTCCCCCCTCCCTGTGCCCACATTTGTAAACGGATGCAGGTCAAATAAACCCTGCTCACTACTAGAATCCAGCACGGGTTTTGACACAGACATTATTGGGGACGATTTGGACGATCTTCTAGACCAAGCAGGCCCCGAGTCAGACCTGGTGAGTAGTTCACGCTTCAATACGCCTGTCATGAAATCCTGAGCGTTTACTACATTGATGCTTTAAAACTAAAGTTAGTTTCAGTGGCACACGGTAAAATTGCTCGGAAAGTCCACATTAGTAACTTGGTAAATTGTATGTACGCTCAAGCTCAGACCCTCCCTTTTTATTCCTTTTGTCCACTTCAATAAAAAGTAAAATGCAGCACCTAATTTAATTTTATAGTAATTTTCAGATTATATATCAATTTTTTTTTCATAGTTTGGCCCGGGGTGCGATTTATACTCTGGAACGACTTATGTGTGAAATTAGTAAATTTTGTAGCATGTTCTATATGCTTAAGTTATTTGAATGACTCCAAACCAGGCACATCAGTTCATTGTTTGTGTCATATAACGTACACTTATTCAGCCTGTTCTCTATTCCATTTTTATTTTAAATTGCCTTTCAAGATGAAATGTCTATTCTTGGTGTCGGATTTTATAAAATTTTAATAATTTACCAATTTTTCGGATTATAAATCAGTTTTTGTCATAGTTTGGCCGGGACTTATACTTTATTCAAATTTTATATTTCACCTACCGTAAAATATCAACCCATATCTCTGGCTATTAAGTTGAGCGATTAAGCTATTAAGAAGAGCAATACGTGTATCATGTGACCATGCTCCGGTCATCAAAACCCACAAACTGTATAAAAATGCGACTTAAATACGAAAAACCGGTATTCATTCAGTGTATACATTTCAGTGAAGGAAACGCATTTATGGGGCTGGTTCATATCTGGATTATTTTATATTCTTTTGATATCCTTTATTTAACAGTAAAAGAAAAAAACAAATTACTGGTATGAAATGTGATATTGTTCTCGAGGATCATGTGTGTCAATGATTTGCCATTCCACCTTTCAATCACATCCATCTGAATTCTGGGAATGAAACAAATAATAATGCACCTTGTTTAAATAGTAATGTGACAGGCTTGGAGAATATTTAACAACCTGATATATTCTTATCTTGTGCAATTCTTTCCATTTTCAGGGTATACAGAGATCCAAGGGGCCTCTTCCATTGCCAACTAGTATTTCCTCTAATAGTCCGCTGCCGAGGCCATTCCTAATGCCGTCGAATATTAACCCCTTTCTACCAACTAGCACTCAAACATGCACTGTCACACTCCCCCCTTTGTATCAACAATCTGGATCGTTATTTGGTTTGTCCAGTTTGTCCACTTTTGATACCTTACCCCAGCCTTTGGACTCCTTGGATACCCTCTCCATATCTGACTATAAATCAGGTGAGGGAAATCCTAATTCAGGTGATGTCTTCTTTACTAAATGAAATTGTGTTGCACTTTGCTCATATTTCTCTTCTTCTTTATTTCAGAATTTGCACCTCTTCCTTTTCTTCGACAGGTAATTCCCATGTGTTTTATCAATGCTATACAACCGTTATTAAAACGCACAAAATACTTGATATATTTATTTCTTATTGTAAGTTGTCTCTAGCAGTCAAGTTGTACTACCAGTTTTTGGTTCAATTTAAGTCTAAATATTGTGCTGGATCAATCTTGTTAACATCTCTACTTTGCATGTCCTATAACGTTGGTAGTAGGAGTTCAGACAAGGCTGTAAAGGTCTTTTTGATTGTTTTAAACATGCCACATAAATACATTCACCACAACCTTAACGACTACCTGGTTTCTTCACAGATGAACAATCATGATTCTCCGATGGGGATGCCTGTGGGAATGCCAGAGGTGAAGGGGCTCCCTGCTGCTGTAGATTTGGCCAAAAACCCTTTAGCAGACACCCATGAATTTAGACAAGCGTGTTCAGCCTGTTATGTTCGAACAGGTGGGTTTTAAGGATAGTTTTCTTTATCATAAAAATGTTTTATTGCGTTTTTAAACATAATCCCTAAATTTACAGACGTATGGAAGAAAAGAAAAACAGAGAAAAAAACAAAAAGTAGTAAACCATAAAAAAGACTGTTCTAATAGTTTACTAATAATCTGATAACATCTTCTGAAAGGTGTTTTCATTGTGTTTGTTTGTAAAGATCTATTGATGTTTATATAGCAATTAATGTTTGAATAGAAAATTTAAAATTAAGAAGAATAATTGCAATATTTCCTACCTCTCCATTTCAGTTAATGACGAAGTAAAAAAACCCTTTTAAGCACAAAGGCTTTTCCTTACAATTATTCTAAGGACAAAATTGTTTTAAGATGAAGACAACATAATGTGGTCTGGTATAAATGGCTCGATTGACTTGTTATACTGCTAGACTGATCTAGTCACTTACATAGTTAAGGAGGGCAGAACTAAGAAACCACATTCCGTCATATTGTATTTCTGATCACTCTTATAAACCCATGAAATGAATGCAGTGCGAATCCTCAAACATGTTTCACATCATAGTTATTGCTGATGTTGTGTACAAAGGGGTCATGACAAATGTTGTCCTGTATCTGCAGGTGCCGGTGTATTGGACTACACACTTCACACAGAGGAGCATAAATGCAAAAAAGATGCGTTACTGGGCCGAATCAAGCATTCGACAGACAAAACGTGGAAGTTGATACGGCCAAGACCCACAAAAACCCAATATGTCGGCCCCTATTACATTTGCAAAGGTGCTGTCTACATCACTGCCCCCACTTTGTCCCATTATTGGTGAAGCACCTGCTTTTTGTCCCTGTTTTATATCCACCAGCCATATTTCATGCTTTGCCATTTTGTGAATGGGGAAGTGATCGTTTTAAATGTCATCTGTGTTGTTTCAGAGGTGGCGGTTGGACAAGAATGCTTGTACCCGGGCCATTGCACATTTGCATACTGTCAGGAAGAAATTGATGTTTGGACTCTGGAGCGAAAAGGCTTTATCTCCAGGGAGCTGCTCTTTGATCCTTTCGGACCCCACTCCAACGTCAGGTTGACAGTCCCAAAAATCTTACAGGAGCATCACGGCATTTTTATGTTCCTTTGTGAAGTAAGTCTTCATTAACGTTTTATTTTTGTCAGTTGTAAGGGAGCAATGGGAAATGTCAATGTGACTATCGACTACATTGACTCTGTTACCCTGTGATTTCTGTTAAACTGTCATATTAATGTTTATATGCGTGCCTTATGAATAAACATTACTTACATTATTTTTCTACACAGGTTTGTTTTGACCATAAGCCAAGAATAATCAGCAAAACCAATAAAGATATTCCTTCGCTTTGCTCCCACCCTGTGACAAAACATGACTTTGAGTCTCATAAGTGAGTTCCTTCATTTGGATTTAAATAATGTATGGATCTGAAAGTTAAATGTGGACGCTCTCCCTCAGGTGCCTGGTTCACATATTGAAGGAGAACATGGTCCGTTATTCTAAAATCCGGCCCTTAACGCCGCTGTGTCAGCTGGATCTGTGTCGACATGAAGTGAGATACGGATGCAGCAGAGAAGATGAGTGTTTCTACGCTCACAGCCTCATCGAGCTCAAGGTCTGGATGATGCAGCGGGACCTGGGTAAGACTCAGAACGGAGTGGTGTTGAGACTGTGTGGCTGTAAATAATAATAATAATGTCTGTTTATGGCAGGTCTTAGCGCTGAAAGTATTGTCCAAGAAGCTAAAAAGTTTTGGGCTGCAAACGCTTCATTGCAGGGTGTGCAGGTACCCATGGAACCCATCAAACTGAAATGTATCTTGCACCATATTGTTTTTCATGAATGTTTTTGTTTATTTATTTGTAGCTTCCTAATACACAACCTAGATTTGGGCCTCCAAATCTAAAGATGATGTTTGTCTGTGGCCAATGCTGGAGAAACGGTCAACTAAGTGAAGCTGACAAAAACAAAAAGTATTGTTCTGCTAAAGCCAGGCACACGTGAGAATTCCTTATTTGTCACAGCATAACTGGTACATAAGAGCATCATTTCATTCTGCATCATCATTTGTTCAGGTGGGCCAAAGACAGAAGGGTAGTACTAGTAAGCTCCAATGAAAGGAAAAAGTGGACAACTGTTCGTCCACTTCCAACCAAAAAGCCAATACCTGCTCAGTTTGAGGTGTGTTTGAATACCCTTTTCTATGTCATGAATAGACTTTGCTACAATTCTTTTAATGTATGTTTTATGTTATTAGATTTGCATGCATGTAACTGCTGGCAAGAAGTGCCAGTACATTGGCAATTGCACATTTGCTCACAGTGTAGAAGAGCGAGATCTATGGACCTATATGAAGGAAAACAACAGTAGGTTTTGGCTCCAGACTTGTAGTTCTGTTTGCTTTGTCTCACTCTTCACATGACATGACTTCTGTGTCTGTCTAGTTGGAGACATGGAACAGCTTTATGATCAGTGGCTGCTGTCTCAGAGGCCCGGCTGGGGTGACGACTCCTCGAACAACTCTATCCGGGAAAATGGCAAACAGATCCATATGCCAACAGACTATGCAGAAGAAGTGGTGAGTTGTTTTTTGTTTTTTTTTATAGTTTAGATTTCTTCTTGGAGATGTACAAATAAATCGTTTGCTTTGATGCAGGCTGGTAATCATTGCTGGCTTTGTGGTAAAAACTGCAACAGTGAGAAGCAGTGGCAGCAGCACATCACTTCAGAAAAACACAAAGATCGTGTCTTTAACTCTGAGGATGATCAGAACTGCTGGCAGTATCGATTTCCCACAGGCACTTTTAAAGTTTGTGAAAGGTGAGTGTGCACTTATATACGTTTTTTCCATTTCCGTTGTATTTCCATGTGCAAGTTGTGGACATAAACGGGGTGGCAACTACTGCTATCATCGTATTCATACATTTGAAAGTTTAGAAAATCAAGCCTCTATATTTGAGTCTTGGCTAACTTAAAGCTGGGCTACCTAACCTTTTCCCTCCATAAATAGTACATGGTGTTTGCCCAACAGAAAGTGTCTTGTAGAAATAAAAAGGTGTGAACAAATTGGACCACAACTTGTTATCTTTTGCATTCTTGTAACAAAGAGTCCTGCGACTCTTTCTGTCTGAAAAAGCTGACGGGTCAAAAAAATACACGCATGTGAAAACCTACATAGATATGAACCTCCCGCCACAAGAACATTCTTCCCCTCTGCTGTTGGACTCTTGAACACTTCTTAACCTCCCCGCCCTCTAAAAGTCCCCTACTGCTCTTCATAAAGTCACTTTACTGCCCATCATACGTCACTTTACTTCACTGTACTACTGTCACCTTACATTGTGTGCACCATGTGCACTGTATATTGTATATAGTAATTGTAACTTTATTTTAATTTTAAATGTATTTCCTAGAAGTGTTTATTATTTTTAATTTTATTTTATTATCTCTCTGACTGTTGCACCGAGCCAAAGCAATTTCCAAGTCTGTGACCTCCTGTTACTTGCGTGGCAATAAAAATGATTCTGATTCTGAGATATGATTTACATGCAGTAGCTCCATTTTTTGTGGTTCTAAAGTTGGGAAGCCCCACTTTTTTTTAAATTGAATGATAAAGTTGACATGCTTAATTGGCATAAGTAGCACCATATGTCTCTAACAGTTGACTTGTCTGTCCACAGATTCCTCAAAGGCACTTGCACAGAGGATGAGTTGTGCAAAATGGCTCACGGGGAGCAGGAGCTGAGGGAGTGGAGAGAGCGTAGGGAATTCCTTTTGATGAAACTTGCCAAAGCTAGAAAAGATCATCTTATAGCACCGAATGACAATGATTTTGGAAAATACAGTTTTCTCCTAAAAGACATTTAAATAATTAACAGCATTTTCATGTTCAAGTCCAAAGGAGATTTTTAGAAATGTTCAGATTCAAGTCGATACGTCGGGCCACTCTTGAGGGCCCCAGTGCAACGTGAGAAAGCTCGATATGATTTTAAGGGCCATCATGGAGCAGTCCTGTGGATGGTGTTTGGTTTTCAATGATCTGAGCTACAAGTGTGTTCATAATAAACACTCAAAACGATGGTGGAAAAATAAGCATGTTAACACCAATCAGAGTTGTGTTAAAGTACTTAACAATTGACAAATAATTTTATTTTTTAAGTTTATATGTTAACTTTGTACCCTTAACTTTGAGAGTAAATGTGTAAGGGGTTATCAAAATCAACACTTAATTTGACATTTTATTCCAGTATACATCATTTTCACTTTCCATTTTATCTAATAGTGTTACAATAAAACTTTTTTTCAAGATTTGGTTTGGAACTGTTATGATCTTGTTTCCTGAGCATTCTAACCTGGTGTCTGTCCTTCTGCAGTTTTCCAGTTGAAATGCTGGCATGAGTTTTTTCATACGGCTCATACATTTTTACTTTTCTCTGGTTTAAATATGCATTTTAAGTTATCAAACTAACAGTTCATACACATTCCAAACAAGAAGGGTAAACAATACAAATTTATTTTTTATTTCAAACCTGCATGATACATTTTTAAATAAACGCTATCTTTTCAATGCACTGTGTCCAGGAGACGTTAAATACAATACCATAACATTTAATCGGCTATTTCACACACAGTATTAGATATTGTGCATTTTATTGGGATGAAAGATTGACATTTGTTTTCAGTCATGTATTGCAATTTTTTGGTAGTGTTCAAAACATGAGGAAAAACCAACTATATTCATCAATACTAGATTGCACTGAATTTCTCAACTTGCTTCTAGAGCTCTAACTACAGTTTATTTAGTATAGCCCTAATTCACAATAGCCGTCTTTTTGGAAGACTTAACAAGTTATCGATTCACAAACCACAGATCAGATAAATAACGATCCAACACAAATGCACACATAGGAGCCATTGGTCTGTAGGGAGCGGGATGACCACTGCCCATAAATGTTAATAAATCTATCATCACTGCTCTGATACCCTCCTGCAAAAACTATCCCTATCATCGGTCAGAAAAGATTGAAAACCCCTCAGATGCAGTTCTACATTTTAAAGTTTAAAAGGCTTTACTTTAGTTACATAGTGCAGCCCTTTTTGCATTTTTCTTTTTGTTGCGTGGCTCAAAGTTTGCAATAATGCACCAACAAACTTGATAATATAGAAACCTTAACTACCGGCGTGCTTGACTGATGGCTTGTGTCACAGTATACGCAGGGCCCAAGATATAGTTGTCATTTCTCAAGTATAATGACTTCTACCTAAGTACTGTGCGAACATCTCCACTCTGCCATTTGGTCCATTGAAGTGGGCTTTTGCATCAATCACTCTGGCACCAAGTCACACCCCCACCCCGCATCCACCCTATCTCTGCATCGAAGACATCACCCGTTGCAAGTCCTCCACCTCCAGCTTCCACATCCCCCGGTGAAGCTCCGCCTGCTCCGAGAGGTCTGCCATCTTCATTGCACGGATGACTGGCTCCGGGGACGTTGCCTGGATGACACCCATCACCATGACATATTTGCCTGAGAAAAACACCAGAGTATGAGGCTGCTGAAGTGTTCGGTGGCAGCCGAGGTGAGGCAGTGATTGGGTTATAGGCTTCTTAAGGTTTAATGGACGGGGAATTTATATTCAGAAATGGGCATTCAATAAGGCATCTTGTCAATACACTTGGTCACAGCAATTAACCTCAGGTCGTGCAGTACATTGGAAACAGTTTGTATCTAGATAAAGTGCCTTGCGAAAGTATTCGGCCCCCTTGAACCTTTCAACATTTCGCCACATTTCAGGGTTCAAACATAAAGATACAATTTTAATTTTTTGTCATGAATCAACAAGTGGGACACAATCGTGAAGTGGAACAAAATTTATTGGATAATTTAAAAAAATTTAACAAATAAACTGAAAAGTGGGGCGTGCAATATTATTCAGCCCCTTTACTTCAGATAACTACAGCTGAGGTGGGGATGGTGTGTTCAGGGTGATGAGTTGCGTTGCTTTTACACCAAACATATCGTTTTGCATTGTGGCCAAAAAGTTCGATTTTGGTTTCATCTGACCAGAGCACCTTCTTCCACATGTTTGGTGTGTCTCCCAGGTGGCTTGTGGCAAACTTTAAAAGACTTTTTATGGATATCTTTGAGAAATGGCTTTCTTCTTGCCACTCTTCCATAAAGGCCAGATTTGTGCAGTGCACGACTGATTGTTGTCCTATGGACAGACTCTCCCACCTCAGCTGTAGTTATCTGCAGTTCATCCAGAGTGATCATGGACCTCTTGGCTGCATCTTTGATCAGTCTTCTCCTTGTTTGAGATGAAAGTTTGGAGGGACGGCCGGGTCTTGGTAGATTTGCAGTGGTCTGATACTCCTTCCATTTCAATATAATTGCTTGCACAGTGCTCCTGGAGATGTTTAAAGCTTGGGAAATCTTTTTGTATCCAAATCTGGCTTTAAACTTCTCCACAATAGTATCTCGGACCTGCCTGGTGTGCTCCTTTGTCTTCTTGGTTCTCTCTGCGCTTTAAACAGAACCCTGAGACTATCAAAGAGCAGGTGCATTTATACGGAGACTTGATTACACACAGGTGCATTCTCAGAATCAGAATCCTTTTTATTGCCACGTAAGTAACAGGAGGTCACAGAGTAGGAAATTGCTTTGGCTCAGTGCAACAGTCAAAAAGAGATAATAAAAATAAGAGTAAGAATAAAAAACACTTCTAAAGAATAAATTTAAAATAGAGTTACAGTTACTATTTACAATATACAAGTGCACATGGTGCACACAATGTAAGGTGACAGCAGTACAGTGAAGTAAAGTGACGTATGATGGGCAGTAAAGTGACTTTATAAAGGGCGGGGGGACAGGTTAAGAAGTGTTCAAGAGTCCAACAGCAGAGGGGAAGAAACTGTTCTTGTGGCGGGAGGTTCTAGTCCTGATGGACCGCAGCCTCCTGCCTGAGGGGAGTGGTTGGAATAGTCCATGTGCAGGGTGAGAGGGGTCGGCTGTGATACGACCAGCCCGGCCTCGAGCTCGGGCGACGTACAGGTCCTGCAGCGATGGAAGGCTGCGGCCGATCACTTCCTCTGCAGAGCGCACAATGCGCTGTAGTCTCTGTTTGTCCCTGACTGTGGCTCCAGCGAACCACACGGTGATGGAGGAGGTGAGGATGGACTCGATGATGGCCGTGTAGAACTGCACCAACATCTGTGCAGGCAGCTTGGCTTTCCTGAGCTGCCGCAGGAAGTACATCCTCTGCTGGGCCTTCTTGATGAGGGAGCTGATGGTCGGCTCCCACTTGAGGTCCTGGGTGATGGTGGTGCCCAGGAAACGGAAGGACTCCACAGAGGTGATGGGGGAGTCCATCACGGAGGGTGGGGGCGGGGGGACAGTGCTCTTCCTGAAGTCCACAATCATCTCCACTGTCTTCTGGGCGTTCAGCTCCAGGTTGTTACCACTACACCAGGACACCAGCCGGTCCACCTCCCTCCTGTAGGCGGACTCATCGTTGTTGGAGATGAGTCCAATGAGGGTGGTGTCGTCCGCGAACTTGATCAGCTTCACGGAGTCGTGGCTGGAGGTGCAGTGGTTGGTGTACAGGGAGAAGAGCAGGGGAGAAAGAACACAGCCCTGTGGGGCTCCTGTATTTATAATCCGAGAGTCCGAGACATTCTTCCCCAGACGCACTCGCTGCTTCCTGTCCGTCAGGAAGTCAGTGATCCACCTGCAGGTGGAATCGGGCACGTTGAGCTGGGAGAGCTTGTCCTGGAGCAGGGATGGCAGGATTGTGTTGAAGGCAGAGCTGAAGTCCACGAACAGGACCCTGGCGTAGGTCCCCGGGGAGTCCAGGTGCTGTAGGATGTGGTGGAGGGCCAGGTTAATGGCGTCGTCTACAGATCTGTTGGCTCTGTAGGCGAACTGCAGGGGGTCCAGGAGGGGGGAGGTGAGGGACTTGAGATGGGAGAGGACCAGGCGTTCAAATGACTTCATGACGACAGACGTAAGTGCTACAGGTCTGTAGTCATTGAGTCCTGTGATCCTGGGCTTCTTCGGGACGGGGACAATGATGGAGGATTTGAAGCAGGCCGGGACATGGCAGGACTGCAGAGAGGTGTTGAAAATGTCCGTGAACACAGGAGTAAGCTCACTGGCGCAGTATCTCAGAGTGGCCGGAGACACGTGGTCCGGGCCAGGAGCTTTGCGGGGGTGCAGCCTCAGGAAGAGTTGTTTAATCTCTTTAGCGGCTATTGTTAGGCTGGGGGCAGGGCTGATGGGTGGGTCGTTAGAGTAGTGGGGGGTGGGGGAGGGAGAGGTGTCAGGGGCAGCATCAAAGCGACTGAAAAATAAGTTCAGTTCGTCAGCTAGCTTGTGGTCGTCAGCACAGGGGGGGGCTTTGGGTTTGTAGTTGGTGATCTCCCGTAGGCCCCTCCAGACAGAAGCAGTATCGTTGTTACCAATCTGCTCCTGTAGTCGTTCTCTGTGCCGGGACTTGGCTGCTTTCAGTTCTTTCCTGAACTGATATATTCTATTCATCATCATCAGTCATTTAGGACAACATTGGATCATTCAAAGATCCTCACTGAACTTCTGGAGTGAGTTTGCTGCACTGAAAGTAAAGGGGCCGAATAATATTGCACGCCCCACTTCAGTTTTTTATTTGTTAAAAAAGTTTAAATTATCCAATACATTTTGTTCCACTTCACGATTGTGTCCCACTTGTTGTTGATTCATGACAAAAAATTAAAATGTTATACCTTTTATGTTTGAAGCCTGAAAGGTTGAAGGGGGCCGAATACTTTCGCAAGACACTGTATATGTATTCAAAGCATTTTCTCCCATCAGCCACATAAGATGGCCTTGACGTTTTAGCGGGAGGGCACCAGCTAGAGTAGGGTTAAGTGTGTTGCCCATGGACACAAAGGTCAGACTGAAGAATTATTTTATCCATCCTGAAACGATATGAGGAGCTTAAATCATAAATAGAAATGTTTCATCGCGCGTGTGTCTTGTATGTCCTTTATGTAGACGCGTTTACATTTTATGTTGAATGGAGCTGCTGAAATGTGCAAAACACATCTGGGACCCTTGTGTTTGACAATAAACTACTTTTATATCCTCTATCAATGGGATCTGTGTCTAGAGTGATGTTGGTCGGTAGGTCAGATGGCAGATATAATTGGGATACTTTCATCTAAAATGATTGTTCTTATTTATTTTTAAACAAACGTTAAAACGCACCAGGTCCAAGACAGAAGTCAAAACAAGAAATTAAAAATGGTACCAAAAACCTGTTTCCTCATTTATCACATGATGGGTTATGGGATCGAATCTTATGCAAATGGGGAAACATGAACCCAAAATTTGGAAAGAAAGAATCAAACCACATATTTCAGATGTAAAAAAGCTTTAACCACATAACATTCCATGATCACCGTTCTAACCCTAAGTCCTAAACCCTAGTCCGAACTTTAACCCTAACCTCTAACTTCTAGACCTTGTCATGGATCATGGACTGTTGATGACATCCACATGTGTCATACTTCTTGTCACATGTATCTCGAATGCACACGTGTATATTCAGTATTTACCTTGTATCAAACAGGGCTTTCCTTTGGGAACGTTGTTGACTCCATGCACAGTAAAAGTACCAGTCTCGTCCATCAGAAGCACCGTGTTGCGGTCCAGCTGCACGTCCAGGACCGTTCCCTGCATCCAGACCAGAGACACAAGAAGACAGCGACCTGGACTCACCCTGATCTGTACCCCATCGGTCCCCACGCCTGCCCCCTCCCGGAGTCCCGCGGAGCGCAGCTGGGCAGACAGCACTTTCACCGGAGGCCGCTTTTTATCCACCATGCTGGTCTCTGCTTGGCTCATCTTGATAACCGGTCTACGTAAACAGTAAATAGTGACTACATGTCCACGGATCTGACACGTGCTCCCGCCATAAACAAAACATGACGCACCGGAAGTGACGATTACAGCCAGACTTCCGTTTTCTACTTTTCACAATAAAACCATTACGCGCTTTCATTCTTTTTCTTGAGGTTGGAGTACCCAACTTTTTTTCTTATAATAAATTCATGTAGTTTCTCAACAGAAAATGTTTCTTCATCTCATTTATGATTATAATCCCATATATGATTTTAATCTTTTAGATTACTAGTGTAATTTTAATGTTCATGTTTAATATTTATTGTGGTCTTAATGTTTGTTTTGAATGCCCTGTGGGATTTTAATTGTATTTTTATGTTTATGTAGATTTTAAATTTGTATGGGTTGTGAGGTACGTTGTGTTGCCTGACAACTAAAAATTGATTAGAAAACATCTTGCGTAAGAAAAAGCTTGTCTAAAGATTTGACAGAGATGAATGTGAAAACGAAACATAGAACTCAATTATCGTTTAAGTTAGGTAATCCAGTCAACCCTTGTTTCTACCTAACGCTCTCTATTTTAAAACATTTCTAATTTTCATGATCAAAAACAAAAACAAAAGTAAAAATGTCACAACAACTAGAATGGTGTATTTCATTAAATAAGTTTTATTTCTTTAAGAATAAATGAAGAAAAGTGTTAGCAATTTCTGTACAATTGTTTCACTGTTTTCCCTTGAATTGGATGAAAATCTTGAATAAACATTTAGGCTGAGAAATATTCTGCTGCCACATAGTGCACTTTGACCTTAAAAGAATACAATTAGTCCACGGCATCAGTTCACTTCTTCTTTAAAATCCACAAAGGCAATCTTCTGCTGAATCCAGTTTCAATTTTTATCTTTTCCTTGTTCTCAGTCATTTTAGAGGCACATTAGAAATACTGCCATTTTCCAAGGACTGTGTCTTTGATTGCATCAACAAACTGGACAGGCACCCAGTAGACCCAGTATTGAGAGGCTTCTGTTGGACCGAGCTGAAAAGCCTGTGGACGACAGAATGGAATGGTGAAAAGCAATTTCACAAATCATTGAATGAACATCTCAAAACTGAATGGCATTTATATGCTGCAGACTAGAGCCCTGCACGGGCCTATTATCTGGGCCCGAGCCCGGCCCTGGCCCGAGGGGGTGGCGCCCCAGCCCGGCCCGGCCCGATATGGTTTCTCAATTTTCAGGCCCGAAACCCGCATCAAGCCCGCCTTTTTTTTTTTTTTGTAACCTCCCATAACAATGTTTTAGCGTAGTATATAGTGCCGCGCACTGATATGAACGCAGACTTAGCTAGAGGGCGGAGTTATACATGGTAGTGATGTGTTGCAATGAGTTCTGTGTGTGCGGAGTGGTGCAGAGTGAACATCTGTATGATACACAGCAGGGACGTGCAGTCAGGGGAGGCAGGGGAGGCAGAGCCTCACCTGCCATTATTGGAAACTAATAATTATTTTAGTTTAAATATATAATTTATATCCACTGTCCTATGCTTTTAATGTATATTCGGCACGGTTCCCATCAGTTTTGATCATTTCTGAAGTCAAAATCGCCGAAATCCCGTTATTCCTATTCAAAGAGACGAGGTGAGGCAGCGCTCCTGCGTGCCTCACCCCAGACCGCTCCCTCACAGTGTGTGTGTGTGTGTCTGAGTGCACTCAGCTCGTGCAGTTGATATATCACCGTTTGTTTCAAATATCCTGCTTTAAAAACATTTTTTAAAAACTCCTCTTAGTGTTTAGTAGTGTATTGCACGTATGTGTGTACAATTTATATTTAGTTTAAGTCTTTTGATCGTAGATGAACACACAAGGAAAAAGCTTGGCGTGAGGCAGGCGGTATCTGTGCCTCACCGCTAGGGGTGATAGTGAGCATAAAGTTCATACCAGAGTTGCTAACAAACAATCAGCCCAAAATGCTATTTCTTTTGCTGGAAAATGGATGATTTGAATGAAGATTTTTTTTCTCAATTGGACTTTCAAACAAAGAAAGAATTAATATAGACTGGGAGACCACCACTGGACTTACGAGGTTAGTCCGGCTGCGGGGGAGGAGTTTGTTAATCTGTGTTTTATGTTGAACATTGACAGATACCGGCAAAGTAGTGCTTTTCCGAAAAACACTGATTCAAACACTGCTCAAGAGTTCTGCAACTTGTTTAAATTATTGTTTATGTTCCTCGCGTCTCTCTCTCCTCGCGTCTCTCTCTCCTCGCGTCTCCGTCTCTCTCTGCTCCTCGCGTCTCCGTCTCTCTGCTCCTCTCTGTCTCTCTCTGCTCCTCGCGTCTCCGTCTCTCTCTGCTCCTCGCGTCTCCGTCTCTCTGCTCCTCTCTGTCTCTCTCTGCTCCTCTCTCCTCGCGTCTCTCTCTCCTCGCGTCTCCGTCTCTCTCTGCTCCTCGCGTCTCCGTCTCTCTGCTCCTCTCCGTCTCTCTCTGCTCCTCGCGTCTCCGTCTCTCTCTGCTCCTCCGTCTCTCTCTGCTCCTCGCGTCTCCGTCTCTCTGCTCCTCTCTGTCTCTCTCTGCTCCTCGCGTCTCCGTCTCTCTCTCCTCGCGTCTCTCTGCTCCTCGCGTCTCCGTCTCTCTGCTCCTCTCTGTCTCTCTCTGCTCCTCTCTCCTCGCGTCTCTGTCTCTCTCTGCTCCTCGCGTCTCCGTCTCTCTGCTCCTCTCTGTCTCTCTCTGCTCCTCTCTCCTCGCGTCTCTCTCTCCTCGCGTCTCTCGCACCTGCGCTTCTTAAAGATGTTGTTTGATGCGGAGCAGAGTCAGCAGCTAGATTTGTTGTGAGATTATTAAAAGAAGCTGGTTCTCTTATCTTTACAGTATATAAAGTTTGTGGATGTCATTGCATTGGTGATTAAATGCTATTTTATTTGAATAATGATTGTAAATCTGACTTTTAAAGTCAGTGCCTCCCCAATCACAAACCTCACCGCACGTCCCTGATACACAGCTGTATGATACACAGCTGTATGATACACAGCTGTATGATACACAGCTGTATGATACACAGCTGTATGATACACAGCTGTATGATGCCCAGATGCTGCAACACACCTGTAAGTAACGCTATGTGCCGTCAATGACAACACTACACAGAACAACAAACACTACAGCGTGATAGAACGCTATATTCAGTGGGTGCGTTCGTAAATGTATTCTGCCGCTCTGAAAATGAAGAGCCCGAGCCCGGCCCGTGTCCGAGGTCATTATGCGGTCATCGGCCCGAAGCCCGGCCCTCGGGCTGTCGGGCCGTCGGGGCCCTCGGGGCAAGGGCTCAAGTGCAGGGCTCTACTGCAGACCAACCAACAGGAACAAACCAGGATACTTACGGTGCATTCATGTGCTCTGGGAATCATGGTAAATACCACTTTCCGAGTGGAAAATAGCACAGAACGGCCCCTCGTCTCACATTTTCTACGGGAGAACTGGGAGATCATTTTGAGATTTGAGTTGCCAAGATGAGACAACCTTTTGATTCCGTTTTGTTGTAGCTAATGCATTGTTGCCAATTTTGAGCATGCTAACTATATTGTTTACACAATGCACTTTGTGTGTGCTGTATGGTAATAAATGGGTACAGTTAGAGATAGCAATTGTTTAGCAGTTATTATAGTAAGCAGACTTCAATATAAACGCATTTTAATTTCATTTTCATTAATTCGTTCTTCTGTGAACATAACAGTCACAAAGAACAGGCGTAAGAAATGAATGTAGGAGAGCCAATATGAATGACTGCTAAATGAAGGTAAGACATCTTACCCCAGGAAAGCTGTTTCTCTTTTTTTAAAATATTTATTAAATAGTGATCGCTTGTAATGGGATTTCTGGTGATTTTCTCACATCAATGTATATGAAATATTCAACTGACAGCATTATGCACTGGGACAGTTTTACCCATATAGCATGAGAGAACATCTTTAATTTTTATTTAAAACAACAAAAGCATTAGCATTAGCAGAATCTATAACTCAGTATGTGCAGATGTAGCTCTTTTGTGTGCCTTTATATCCTTGTTCTGTACTATTTGCATTATAATATGTAAAGTTTGATTGTAATTGACTTTGGGGGTGCGGTGCTAATAAGCTTTTTGCTTCAACCCACTCCTTTTGTGCAGTATTAATACTGTTCAAATAAAAAACAAACAAAAAAAATGGTCACTTTCAGATCACAAGTGGAAAGGATCATAAGATCATCAGAGCACACGAAAGCACCATTAAACTCCAGCTCTGTGTCTTCATTTGCATCGAGACAATACAAATATAAAAGACAGCACTATACTCCTGCAGTACCCATTCAAACCCTAAAAACAACTGAATGAAACCAGTACTGGGGACAACATCAAAAAGTGTTCTTTACATTTGGTTACATTCCGAGGCCTGCAGCTACTGAAAGTAAAGTCTGTGTATATAATACTTTCCATAAAACCATTTTTCTTATTGAAGCTTTCCTGTACTCTTTGAAACAGCCTCCAATTTCACAGTGAGAAACACAAGTGCTTTTAAAGGTTAAATAGAAAGAAGCCACTGACATTTAGCGCTTCACTGCCGCCCAAACAACAATAACCTCCACTCGGCTTCAGTGACCTGCTTCATAGACAAGCGCGCCCGTAAAGCTGCACGGTGGAACTTTTTAAGAGGACGATCTGCTAACAACTTGTCCACCTGAAGGTTCTGCAACTCATGGCCATTTTTGGTTCTTTCCATCTATCTATCTATCTATCTAGAATGTGCAAGAGCAGAGGGAGTTAGTAGTAAGCTTTTATTTATATACCGCCTTTTCACTGCACATCGGAGTCTCAAAGCGGTTTACAATTGTTATTTTTTTGGGAGCGGGGGTGCCAGTACAGGAGGCACATGCCAGACCTATTGTACATATTTTTAGTGGTAGGGGAAACCGGAGCACCCGGAGGAAACCTACGCAGACACGGGGAGAACATGCAAACTCCACTCAGAAAGGCCCTGGTCCAACCGGGATTTGAACCCAGGACCTTCTTGCTGAGAGGCGAGAGTGCTATCCACTCAGCCACCGTGCCGCCCTAGTTAGCTGGGTTTAATTCAACATTTGTTTTACAAGGGGATAACCAGAGGGAACTTTCCAGAAAATCAGATATGCCCAAAGCTCAAGTATACAAATATAAGTAGACCATGCACAAGACTAGCTTCAGAAGGTTGTCTTGTGTATCTTGTGTGTTTGCATGGTTAGCATAGGAGCATGTGTATTTGGGAGCTTGGCTATTGTATCTTTGGTCTTAAAGGATGAGAGGTGGTAATAGTAGTTCCTATATATAATAGTAAATATGTGAATAGTAAAAAGTAAAAAGATGTATTGCAATAAATTATATCAATGACATGAGTTTATGCCACTGGTTTAACAATTTTTTGGCCATCTACATCTATAAAAGTTCTAAGCTGAAACAAATAAATAGCAGAATTAAGCTGCATGAAATTACTTATGCAGCTCAAAATGTTTGACATCACAAAGAAATCAGCAAATATGTCACAATTACAAATAAAATATATTGTCCTTTATGGCGTTATTGCCTGTAGAAGGTTATAGTAGCTGCAGTGTAATAGGTAATTTCAAATTACTGCTGCTATTCAGTTGTAGCATTAGCACTACCACAACTGCTTTTTGAACGAGAGAGAGAGCTCCGGTGCATTTCAATGACCACCAAAAGAGAGGCATTAGCCCAGTAAAGAAGCAGTTACCATCATGTGATAGTCCTCGTGGCCTTCGATGGGCTCAGACAATACGTTCTTAATGGAGCCCATTGGGACTTTCTCTGTTCTCTCTGCAGACATAAACACAAACAAAATGCATTTCTCAGACAAAGGCACAGTAAAAACTCTTTGAATGGAGCGTAATGAGCAGCCTGCATTCTCACCCTTTGTTCCGATCCACAACTGATCCTGCTCCAGTTTGAAAGTGAGTCTAACTTTTCCTCCGGATTTGTTGAACATCCCGGATAAAGGCACTGTTGGTAATCGCTCCTGTGACGGGCACAAGGCAAGCAATCAAACTCTCTCACAAGACATCAGTCACTCTCCGCAAACTCAATAAACCATTAATCACGCAGAATGTCTTGTTTTAATAAGATACATATCACTGTGATCGCTGTGAAATTGACGGGAATGTCTCTTGTCGGACAAGCTTTGATGCACGATTTCAGAAATGATTAAATAACAACAGCCCTTTTAAGAAATTGTAGCAGTTTCAGAAAACAACAGTTGGGCTCTCGCTCTTGAGTCGAGCTTGAATGAATCGGACGATGGCACACTACTCGACCAAAACTAAAATATTGAATTTAAATTAGGACTTCTATTGGAAAACTGGGAGAATGAGAAGGCATGAAGTAAATTAGCTGACACTTTAGTATTTGTTTTGGTATTCAAGTCAGTGCATGGTTTTAGTTGACAAAGACATATTATGGTTTCTTACAGATACTTCTGTAAACTTGCATCTGTTGTATAGGGCTGTAACTAAACTCTTCGGGAAGCCTCGTATTGAATGCACTAAATCATGGTATTCAAATATTGAAAATTTGATACGACTCAGAAATACAGTGAATAATCAAGCATTAGTAATTCTTTCACATGTTGCTTGATTACTATACAAGGTCTGTGTGACATTAAGATTAAGAGATTATTTATTTGTCCCACGTTGGGGAAATTACAGAATGAATTGAGAATAGACATAACATTCGGCCATATATTAAAGGAGCGATATGTAAAAATCTGGTGAAAAAAGTGGTGCTGTCATCACGGTCAATATTCTGTAGTCCTCTCCCACTCTCCATAAAAAGCTGGATACATAAGAGTTTTGTCAAGAACACATCTATAACCAACCCCTTTTTCACAAAGACCCAATAGAAATCCTTGTTTTATTCCTTGTTTTGTCATAAAGGATTTGAGAATCATAACGAGACACTTTGTAGTCCTGCCGCCACATGTTACTTTCCCAGTGAGATTAGCTCGATGTGGTGAGTTCTGGCAACCTGGATCACTGACTTTCTGATTGGTAAAACGGTGGAGGATCAAACAAGATTTAGGGGCTGTAAATCCAATTTGGAAATTTGAATATCCCGGTTGAACTACTGTTATCAGTTTAATAAGTATTCGAAAAGACCATGATTTATTAATGCCTTTTGACATATTAGGGCCATTTAATGATGACTCGACATATTACATATTGCTACTTTAACACAATTTTTCACATCACGCTTTTTTTACGAGCCAAAAAGAAACAATGATGCTGTGTTGTACCTTGGTTCCTTTGACAGCTGGCATTATGTCTTCTGGTTTACCTTTATCCAAGACCTTCCTATGTTGCTGAAATGTAAACAAATATATGAACAAACTACTCATACAAGCTTATTTACTAGACTTTTTCTCATATCAAAATAAACATAATATCCCATATTGTTCCAACACAAATTCATCTTAGAGAAAACATTGGATCATTTGCATTAAGAGCCCTGTGAGTCACTATTTGACGTATTGTGGGGTTGGTTCTCTCTTTATAAGAAATGTAAAAAGCTAGGAACTATCTGACTACATAACTTTTGTTGTGGTTTGAAAGTTAGATACCCCAGCTTTACGGATGCATACTTCTACTTACCTTTTGCCTACATAAAGGTTCCTTCTTGTTTTCCTCGGCTTTGACTTCCTGCTGGACAACCTCTTTGGGCGTATTCACAGCTAAAACGTCGTTCATCGTAGATCCTACTACCATTATTTTTGCACCGTTCGTAACCTTTATTTCCCGAAGCGTTTTGTCTTCAGGGAGCAGTCCTTTGTACATCACTTTCTGCATTGATGGTGGAAGACCTGGGGGCATCCGTGAAATAATAGTCATTATAATCTTGAACATATAATTCAGTATTAAGAGGAGAGGTCAATTACATGCTCATATCATAGACTGTAGAAAGGAGTGGACAGATAGAGAGCTGATGCCATTCATAGCATTTGGCTTTAACCACAAGAAGCTGATTATAGCTAATGCTCATGCTCCATGGCCAGGAATATGGGGCCAAATTCTCTCACAGCAACCGCATAGCAACCAAACAGCTGATTCGGTGTGAGGCTTATTTGACCCACGTTTACTGGGCAAAGCCGCATTTGTAGAAAATAAAATTTTCTGTTTAAAGTCTACATGTATTTCACTTTTCCACATTGTTGTTGCTTTATCTTTCTGCTTTACTCTCCTGTAATTATTTTTGATATGTTATATTATCGATCGATAGATACGTTATTGATCCCCCGTAGAAGAAATTCAGGGGTCTACCAGTAGAAGACTCATCCAGGTTTGTTGTACTGTCTGACAGCAGAAGGAACAAAGGATCTCTTGAAACGTTCCGTTCGGCAGCGTAGTGATAGGAGCCTGTTACTTCGATTATTATGACTGTTTTGTTTTTATTGCTTTATGCTGACTGTGCAGCGCTTTGTAAACATACATACAAATACAGATTTATTATCATTATCAAATTAGGCCACTGATTGGTCAGTTAGGGTTATATCTTGAAGACAATATCAAAGTAAGACGCTGTGATCATTTAGAGCAGGCATATTCAAACATTTTAGTAAGAGGGCCAGTTAAGTTAACCAGACTTGTCCGGGAGGAATTTTTTAGGAATTTTATAGAATTCTGGCTGATGTAAAGTGTAAACTATGTGCTCATTGAAATGGAGCCAAAACAAGTAGTAGTAAAACCCATGATAACTTCCCTATTAGGCTTCCTAGAGATATCAGATTAGCTCTGTCCATTCCGATATACAGCCTAAGGTTCATAATGAGTCATTAGAAAAACATTCTTACCAGTGAGTGAGTGAATTTTCTCTTTTAATTTGGCTCCAGTGCTGTCAATACCAATTTTCAGATCATACTTATTCTTATTCCAGATAATTTTCAAGTCAACCATCTCCTGCTGCTCGTCTGCCTCGTCCCCGTTGCTAATACTACAGTCCTGAGTTGTGGCGTTTGTCAAATCCGTTTTAGACGTATTTTCTGACTCGCCCTCCAGTGGTTCATCATCAGTTGGCCTTGTGTCAGATTCCATTATGACATCTGCACTTCCTGGACACAAAATGACAGCAGATATTTGAGCAACGTAATGACAACAAGGAAAAGAAAACAATACAAGAAGTATGTGGAGTAAAATATATATTTTTATAAAAATACATCAGCATTTTAACTGGTAAAAATATCTAATATCAAATGATCTCTTTGGCACATGAAAATGCAAACAAAACAACTACAAACATCTAACTAATATTGCTACAATTAGTTATGTTACAATTAAAATTGACGTTATCAATTTAATCGTTTACGATGAGGACCCAGAACCAGCTCAGGGAAGGACACTCAAAGTATAAAGTCTTGCAATTCATAGAATATATAGATGAGGCTCAAAAGACTATGGTGGAATGGGAAACAATTTTAAAAAATGTCAGAGAAAAAGTTCCCAGATTTCCTGACATGGAAGGGGCACTTGGGATAATGATCTTTTTTTTTTTTAAATAGTGGGTGTTAATGTAATTCAATAATTGTTGAAATAAGTATAGTTTAAAAACGAGATAAGTAACAACTCTCCATTGACAATTAAGAAAATACATTAATATGTCTTTAACTGATTCTGAGTGAAGAATCAATGGTTGGAAACCACAAGATTATTACCCAATAAGGGATAACAGTTGATGTGCATCTATTGGTTCAGTTGTGATAAACTTTCATCCTTGAAAGATTAGTATTTCAGCCAAATGATTTGTTCCTAATGAAAAGCCTCTAGAACTGTGTCGTGAAGAATAAATGCACCTCTCTGGTGAGAGACAAAGTAATAGCACTTAAGTAAAAAAATAATAGGGAAATGAAGGGACGATTAAAGAAAAAAGTATTAATACTGTAAATCAGGCTGACAGGAAAACTGGCATTAAATGTAGGGTAGTAATTAAACTACACTCTTCTTCTTAGCTGACTAACCAGCTGTAAACATGATGAGATTAGGAGAATCATAAAATGAGGATTACATTACGTTTTGGTAATCTGCCCAATCTCATTTTACCTCTGGCTCTTTCCAAAAGCACGTACACAAGTAACAGCTAGTTTATTGATTAACTTTATACATCGTGTCCATTAGTTGAATAGTGATCATAATAAAAATGTATTCAAACAATTTAAAGGTTCACTTTAAATGCATTGGTCAGGTAGACTACATAACTGATTTGATGGTCGTTTCGTAACACATTATTTTATTCTTAAGTGATTTCAAGAATATCAAATAACAGAGGGATTGAAACTCGTAAAGCATTGCGCCTGCCGTTAAACTGTTTTCAAATGTGTCGGTATTCTGGGTTTCACTGTTAGCACTCGTGAGCTAGCAGAAGCATTTCTTGGATTAGAAATAATAAAATAAATAACAATTGCAGTACATGTGGCATGATAAATCTCGCGTTGACACACATGAAACACCCGCCAGTCGTTTCACTAAAAGCAACAATGTTAAAGGTGAGAATAAAGGGAAAATGCAGCAGTGTTCTGCCAGTACCCACCATCCTGAGTCGCCATGATGATTGTGTACAATCTGTTGTAGGTTGACCAAAGAGGCGACACACGGTGGGATGAGTGTGGGCAGTTCAGAGCAAAACTTTACCTTAACTGATACATTTATTTATCCCATGTGTTATTTTTACATTTTATCACCTATCCAACAAGCGAAATATAATTAGTCTTGAATTTAACTGAACAGAAAGACAAGTGTCAATTGGTGAACATTTATGGCTAACTAGGTGTTAGCTAACTATGTTCTTGCGTATCAAATTTTATTTTTACTATTATTTATCTCATATTTTCCTGTCTGATATATATTTTAAATGTATATATACATATTCGTTGTAATTTCAGAGAAGTAAAAAGTTTCAATCGAGGTACTTCCGGGAAAACGACAAACACGGAAATAGTATTGCTACAATGCTCTTTATGTGATCAAATCTTTGAACTGGAAGCTGAGATCAGCGGTCCACAAGAGATGGTACTTTCTCAGTAAAACTAGTGAATACTCCCAATATTATACTTATTGTGAAATTCATGCAACATTCCAATTTGTTCCGTGATGTATTGTACATCCATGTAATTATTTATTTTATAATAATTTAATTGTGTGTAATGGACAAGCACACAGTTACATATATTCTGTTGTATAATATGAATACACATGTATTTTTGTCACGAATTGTTTTACTGTATAACTAATGTTAGGATGGTTAACACAATATGTATTTGCGTGTGCCCATCTTGTACCCTGCTTGTGCCTCAAAATTCCCTGGAAAATATGTGAACATTTCGCGTGAAGAATGCTAATTAAAACCACCTAGCACTCAACACCTAACACTAGTTGCATATAGATGTGTGTGAGTGACTGTTTGGAATATCATCTTTTTTATGGGAAAATGCTCTTGGTCACCTCTGGAAGGCAGCAGATCCAAGTTAGTGACCCAAACTGTTGCCTGAGCTCGAAGAAGGACAACAAACATGGGAGGTAGAGGAAGACACTAAAAGGAAGAAGACATTTACTTTTAATCAAAGTCACAAGTCGTCATGCGTATTTGGCATGACAGAGAGAGAGAGAGCCCCCACACAGAGACGCACTGTTGGCGTCTGTCGCGCTCCTCTCTGCTCCGTACCTCAGCTATCTGCGCATTAAGTCGTAACTAAGTAGTAATAGACTCAACCTTTTTTTCAAGAAACGTATAGTGAATTGAATGTTTGTGCTGTTTTGTCGCAGATAAGTCATTGAAGTGAAGTGCGTTTGGTTCTCCTTCCCAAATTATTAGAATGAGCTTTTAGACCAGACCATGGCAGACAGAAGGACTTTTAATGTGGCTATTTTAGGTGTTGGCTTTTTGTTCCTTTTTACGGCATTCACGACTTGTGGGAATGTAGAAGTAAGTAATATTTTTACCATGCTGCTCTCAAAGTTTGTTATGAAAAGTGAAATCAAAGTTTTGGCGGTTTGTGATGGTACAGACGAATATCCCGTGTTTCCTATTTCCATCCTTGGTCAGCTTAAAGACCGGATGAATGACTCCACATCTATTCTCACTAACTTTCCTTTCACCTTTTCAGCAAACGGTTGTGAAAAGTCTGGGAAATGAAACGTTTTCTGGGAGTGGATACTACAGGTAACAAACCTATAGGCCTACAGATACAGGCATTAAATACATCACTAAACAATCATAGTAGTCCTAGAAATGACTGAATGAAAAATAAAAATTTTAAAAAGCATTTGACAAGTGCTGCTAATCAAGCAAAAGGGGAAACTATACATATACAACTGTTTTTATTTGTTTTAATTTTATAACTATCAAAAGAAACATATTCACTGTACTCTATACGTATATACAGTCGTGTTTAAAGATTTACAGATCTTCATTGTTTTGGCCATTTAAAAAACACAAATATTGTTTTTATATTGTTTGGAAATTAAACTGGAGGCTTTTTGCCAAGAATAATGGGCAGTTTTACTTTGGATAGGTACCACAAAAGACTCCAAGCTGTCAGAGATTTTTAAGGGGAAACACATGCTCTTGAGAACTGGGATGGACACTTCTAATCAGAGTCTTTTGAGAAGTTTCTGTTATCCCACTTGAAAATAGAAGCACAACTACATATTATTGACACAGACCTATGCTATAGTGATGTACTATACTCTTGTTTTCCAGTCTTGGCATCATTTATGGGATTTTCTCCTTCTCCAATCTGCTTGCACCAACTGTTGTTGCTGTTATTGGTGCAAAACACTGTATGTTTTTGAGTGGCCTTCTCTACAGGTTAGTTGGAAAGACGTTGTAATAGTGCTACACAGGTTCAATAATGTGATTTATTGTCATTTCGTTTTGTGCAGTGGTTATGTTGCGGCATTCATTCTTCCCTTCACGTGGTCCTTTTATTTGACTTCAGTGCTGATTGGCATCGGAGCGGCCAGTAAGTTTGTCTCCAGTCATCCATTCATTTACTTAACTTAATTTGTGCAGCTTGTTTTGTCTCCATGGTTATGTGATTACCTTTCCAAGAATTTTATATGGTATCACATTTACTTATTGCAATCAACAGTAGATGAATATTGGTAATTTTTTTTTGTTCCACTTCTTTGGAGAGCTGGCATTAGTCACAGTAAGAGTGACAGTCTACGTTTTATCACTGTATTTTTTATCATTAAAACACATATAGGTGTAAAACATTAAAGTAGCACTCCATTCACTATAAATATATATTTATAGATATTTTATTTATTAAAAATAGATCAGAGTATGGCTATAAAGAAACAGTATATAACAGTTTGTGCTGCTGGTTTAATCAGGTGATTGCAATTATAATACAAACCAGTGTCTCTGTTTTGCACATATTTCTGCAGCTCCTCCTGCTTTGATGGTGCTGTTCTGCTGGGGTTAGATTAGAGAACAAACCCACAGGAAGAGACTCATGTGATGCTAATTCTGCTCTCTGATTGGACACTCATCCTGAGAGACAAATTATAAACTGCTCACATATGGCCATCATGTCCATTGGTTTTGTATAAAGTAGTATTAAATAAGCATTGGTAATTTGATCTGAAAAGGCCATATATGATCTGACAGACAGAAGATGATGTAACCCATTTTAATATGTTTGCTCTTTAATTTTATTGAGCAAGTGTTATCTCAAAGACATTGAATAAAACAAACCGAGGTAATTACTCAATCTCACTTCTTTCTCTTTATTAGAATTGCAGTTTTACATTCTATTTAATACATACCAAACCATAACGTGTCTCCATATCACACATTTCTTTTAAACATCATATATGTGGGTAATATACAAAAAGGAACTATCTCCTCAGTGTTTCTGGTTGTGATCAGCATATCCCAAATTAGACCTAAAATGGGTTAGAAATTGCACCTTGTTCTTGTAGAAACACAGCACGAGACCCACCGCTGAGCACTTGCAGGAAAATCATCGTATGTGATGAATTCTGATGATGTCCTGGGGCTGTTCTGGTTTAGATGCGTTATTTACCAACACGGAAAGATAATTTTTCACTTGGTGCCGGCAATTAAGGCTGAGCTTGGCCATTTTTTCCCCTTGAGTGACCCGCCTGTCTCCGCAGTGCTGTGGACGGCTCAAGGACACTTCCTGGTGGAGAACTCCGAGGCCTCGACCATCAACAGGAACACAGGGATGTTCTGGGCTCTGCTGCAGTGCAGGTATCCGCACACTATTCACTTTACTATTCCAGGATAAAGGGTTTGACGGGCAGGAAGATGAGAGAGGAACAGTAACAGTAAGTTTAGTAACTAACTGAACATGTTTTTCAAATAATAATTCCATTTATTTATTACTGTACATAATAAGATGACAGAATATTGAAACATGCAGCTCGACTCAGGAGACAATTTGTGTGATCCTGAATTGATTATAATGAATGATTTAATGTATTCCTAACATTGAACACAAAGAAATAAAAACATCCCACATCACAGCCATATCTCATTAAACCTATAGACATAAATGACTATTACACAAATTCTAACAAAACATATTTATAAAAAAAAAAAATCTATTATTGTAAATTATTATTATTTTCATTATTATTCTTTTAAATAAACATTCTATAATATAATAATTTAAATGTAATACTCATTGACAAGCCTGTGCATGGAGTAGAATTATGAATACCAGTTATAGTAATTGGAGCCAAACGTTGCTTGTCAAAACAGCGCAATTTCACAGGTAAGAGTTTTTGGCTTTGGTTCCTTTTCATCTCACACCTCTGTCTCCCTGGCTCTAGCAACTGTTTGTATTTGTTAAAATATGCAAATTGAATTAGTTAAATAATTGCATTCTCTGTCACCTGTGCCAAGGCTCACAATAGGGCAGTGCTAATCTGAGACGCTGCGCAGACGTTTCCAGGCTATTAACAGAAACGAACAGGCTCCTAATGCAAATTTCTCAGCGTTCACATGAGGTTGAAAAACTATGTAGTTCTAGCGCCCGGCCAGTAGTGGGCAGAGAAACTTTACAACACGACACACGACCCCGAGCCCCGTGCCCAGCCCCCCCTCCCGGCAGTGTACTCACTTCCTGTGCCAGACCCTCAGGACGTACCAACATCATTCTGCATTTTAACAGCATCTGTGAAAATGGAAACTGAACCTAGAGCTTCGCGTGGTCTCGTTTGGACGAACGAAGGAGTAGAATTATCCTCTGTCCCGCGCTGGAAGCCCACGAAGCTAGTTAGTGCGCGTGGCGCCATTTTTGTTTTCGTTTGTTCTCCGCTACTGCGCATGTCCAAATTTACGTGCGGGGAGCAGCGCGGAGGTGGGGGTCAGAGCAGAGGGGGATTTCACACCTTTCCCCTCTCGCTGGTGTGAAAGAGAGCCCCCGCTGTGCAGCGTTTCTGAGTTGTCCCACTCTGCAGGCTGGATCTGAACACTTACGTTTTCACCCCCCTGGAACACAGTCTTCGTATGAACGGTTGGTAGCAACCGACATCCAACTATACCGTTTTACTGCCACATTGTCTCCGTGTAAACTCAGCCTCTGTGTGCAGCAGTGATCCCTGTCACTGCAAACTTATGAGGCTTTCGAGCCCTCGAAATCCAGTTATCTTTATGAATAAGCTCTGCTATTTGCTATTGATTTCTTGGAAGAGAGTAGTTTCTTGTTGAAGGGGTTTTTTAATTAACACTAGGGTAGATAATATCATTTTATAGAAGTGGCCAAACAGATGAGGATTCTATAGTCCGTATGATCCTGATCCTGAAGACGTCTCCGGTAATAGTTCCAAAAGTAAGTAGTAAGTAAGTAATCTTTATTTTATATACCGCCTTTTCACTGCAGATCTGAGTCTCAAAGCGGTTTACAATTGTTTACAATTATTTTTGGGCATTTGTCTCTCACTCCACACAGAGATGGGAGCGGGGTCGCCAGTACACAAGGCACATGCCAGACCTATTGTACATATTTTTAGTGGTAGGGGAAACCGGAGTACCCGGAGGAAACCTACGCAGACACGGGGAGAACATGCAAACTCCACTCAGAAAGGCCCTGGTCCGACCGGGATTCGAACCCAGGACCTTCTTGCTGAGAGGCGAGAGTGCTATCCACTCAGCCACCGTGCCGCCCGGTGGCTGAGTGGAAAAGTCAGAAAAAGTCAGGATTTATACTATGTGAACATTAGCCTCAACTTATAATTTGCAACTCTTGATTGTCTTGCCAACATTTTTAATAAAAACTACAGATTAAAATATGTAGTATAAATATGTAGTGTAACTGCATATAACCAATGGGAGACACAATGATGTATGCTGTCTTCCTTTAAAGCTGGGGTACCTGACTTTCAAACCACCACATCCTCAGCTCTAATCTTAATCCGATATTTTGTGTATTGGTCAACATCTTTTGGGAAACACATTTAAAATTAACTTTTTTTTGTATTGATAGATGTATGGAAAAAATATAAAACTGTTGTTAGTTTTAATACAGGCTGGACTGCATACATGACTGCATGTGTAGCCTAATTTTTACATCCAATATATAATTTTTTTACTTATTTGTGGTCTGTTTGTGCTCCAAAGAAACATTACATTTATTTATTATATTAATTGTTGGTATTTTTCATTTACAGCATGATATTTGGCAACCTCTATATTTACTTTGAATGGAACGGAGCCACTGAAATTACAGGTATGTGGTGACTACTAGTGGATATGAAAATATTAGCTCCAAATCATATGAATGTATAAATTATCAGGCTTAACAGACTTAAATGGTTTGCAGAGAGCAGCAGGAAGAACGTGTTCCTGTCGCTGTTCGTGGCCTCAGTTTTGGGCACGATGAGTTTCCTGGTTCTGAGACAAAGTCAGTCAGAGGAGGATATGCTCTCAGAGGACGAGGGTCAGTCACTACTATCAACACGAATGAGGTAATAATAAAAATAATAATAATACATTGTACTTTTGTAGCACTATTTGGACACTCAAAGACGCTTTACAGAATAAAAAATAAGAAACAAAAATAAAAAGCTAAAAATAAACAGTTAAGTGTAGGTACGTGTAATAACATTGTCATTAAAATATATTGAGTTTTGGTGAAGATTTGGGTATGTCTTCATTATCATTCAAACTTCTATTGATTATTGTTGAGTAACATAACTGCTCTGTAAGGGTGGGCTATTACAACAGCATGTTTGTATTAGAATTGTGGTAATAGTGTTCACATGATAGCATGGTAATGTAATAAAACTGAGTTAAAACATTTGGTTTGTGGATATTTGAAAAATTATAATTGATGCAATTTTCTTACTTACTTTTGTTTAACTTACTTACTGCAGGTCTACATAATACAATATAGTTTTGGTTGAAATTTTACACTCCCTGGCATGAATTTAGAATATTTTTTTGGCCGTATTTCGGAGATTTTAAATGATTACACAAAAACACTCATTGTTGAAGTGGTTGCATGAAGCCATTATTTCCAAATAAGTAGAGCACAGACCTCCGCCTTGAGGCACCATTCCTTTTAAAAAATCCTGAACCCAAAACTGAACATGTTTTTACTGGGCCACTGCGCATGTTCTTTTGAAAATATTGTCCAAATCCCTCCAAATGCAATATAATAAATGGCTTCACAAAAGTTATTGTGTTATCATTCATACGCTCCAAATCATGGCCAAAACCTGTTTTTTTTTCTGCCAGGGTGGGTACACTTTCAAGCACAACTGTAAAAACAATTTGCGTCCATCACTGGGGAACTAAAATACAACTAAAAACTACTGAAAGCAAAGCCACACTTGACGGCTTCATAATGCAGTTGCTCACACACACTACCTAAGCATATATTTACCTGGTCCCATGTATGATGATAACTCAAGTCAAACATTTGGGGTGAAGGAGGGATGACCACCACAAAAGAGTTTAAAATCTCTCTTGTCCTTCAGTGAAAATGACACACACGTTTCTTTTCTCCAGATCATTGCAATTTGAACCGAGTCAGGTCTAATCATAGCACTTCATGCAAGTAGTCTGCAATCAGAGGCACTGGAGCTGCTGGGACCTCCTCAGCCTCCAAGTCTCGCTCCACATTACGCTTCAAATATTTACATTTTTATGACTTTGACTCACGAGAGGCTGACGAGCGCTGTCATCAAAGAGCGCTCAATGTCAGGTCTGTAAAGTGCACCATCGAAAACAGCTTATAGGGAAATATCTAAATATCAGAAGCAATTTTAAGCTTTATTTACTCCAGAGTATTAGATGGAAACAGTATTTTTCAATATTTACCATAATCGTCATGATCACAAGACTCACATAAAAAATCAGACAATCTTATAAAAGCCAGCGATTAAATTGTGTAAGAGTGGTACCAGAGTTCCCCAGCACCACCACAAAGTCAGTGAGTCGAAAAATACATTTTACATCCAAAGTTATTGTTAAGTGACTGATTGCTGTTTGAGCACTTGATTGATTTTACTTAATTAGTTCAAAGCTGCACATACATAAAGAGGTATTCACAAAAAATAGATACAAAATGTAAATTAAATACATGTATATGGTTTGAAATGGGATTGGATGAAGCAGAAGCTAATAGTTTTCCAATCGCCTTTCACACATTCAAACAAAAGACTCACAAATCTAATACCAGAACAAAAAACAATACCTTACCATCCACTTCAACAAAACAAAGCAATATAACACTTACAATACAATATATGTAGTAATACACACAAGAAACGAGCCCAAGCACTCTCTGACCCTACACCCCTCTCTTTCTTCACTCTGTGCTGAGGGCATCACGCCTCTTCGACCTTCTTTTTGAATTGCATCAAGTTAACACCTACTATGAATTCTTCTAGACCAGGTTGTCTTGAAATAAGTGTAATTTCATTGTCACTTTCTAATTATCTGTTTTGTTATTGTCTTATTTATAAATGACAACACGTTTCAAAACATCAAATGAGAAAGTTATCAAGATCATGCATGACAAAATGACAGGATCTTGATAACACACAATGTTTGTTCTTAGAGTTCTATGATGAGGATAGGACAGTCAGTTGGAAAAATGAATACAAATCACTATAACCTGTCACTGATATTCCATGTTTTTATTTGTGTTAAAATATGTGTACTTATGTTGTGCTTTCCTATACATTGTAGTAATCAGAGCTACTATGTCCGAACGTTCCAGAAATTGAACTTAATGGCTAAACTAAATGGCTAGTGTTAAACATTATGAATTTCTATTTTACCTTCCTCTAACATGTTTCTAACTGTTATATTTGTTCAATCGTTAAATTATTATTCTTGCATCTGAAGTGGGAGCAGCTCAAACATATCTCATATATCACAAATGGGAAGCACCATTCTGAACAGTGTTCCAGGGCATTTTCTCAAGTCGGAGGTGGGAAAAATCCCAGTTCCCTGGAACACACCATTACTCTGCAGCCACCTATCCATGGCTTATGTGTTGAAAAATGAGGGTTGTTGCCATAGTAACTTCCAGTCAAAAACAGAATCCAATCATTTGAAGGATTTTGATGATTTTTATGTGATTTTAGACGGTTTATGAAAAAGTTGCGTGAAACAGGAAGCTGCCACCAATGAATACGCTGACACAACATTGACTCCACGAATGAAAATTGTGTCTAGTTTTACCAGCAAACGGACAGTGACAGTTTATCAATCAATCAATCAATCAACGTTTATTTGTATAGCGCCTTTCCTACACAAGGCAACGCAAAGCGCTTCACATCCCCTATCACATCATGCATAAATCAAACACATTAAGAGCACAAGATATATTAAAAACATTAAAAATAAAATCACAAAAATTAAAAACCTTTAAACATTAAAATCACAGATGGGACTAAAATCATAAATAGTCACAGTGCATTAAAAAGATTAAAGATATAAACAAAGATGAAAAGATAAAATCATTCAGTTGTATATGCGCAGCTAAACAGAATTGTTTTGAGCCTAGATTTAAAGGATGCCAGAGTAGACGCCTGTCTCACATTCTCAGGAAGACGGTTCCAGACTCTAGCCGCATGAATCTGAAATGCAGTTTGCCCATGTCTAGTACCGACTCTGGGCACTAACAGGAGTCCAGTCCCTGTGCTCCTCAGAGTCCGGGTCGGTTCATATGGCACAAACATGTCGTGGATGTACCTTGGCGCGAGACCATGGAGAGACTTGTACACAAGTAAAGCTGCTTTGAAGTCTATTCTCTGAGGAACAGGAAGCCAGTGCAGAGACCTGAGAACTGGACTAATGTGGTCGCACTTCCTAGTTCTGGTCAGGACTCGAGCTGCTGCATGTTGAATGTACTGCAGCTGTTTTACAGCCTGTTTGGAGAGACCTGTGAACAAGCCATTGCAATAGTCTAACCGACTGGAGACAAAAGCGTGTATAAGAGTCTCCAAGTCTGCCTTAGACACTATGTTTTTAATTTTAGCAATGTTTTTTAGGTGGTAATAAGCTGCTGATGTTACAGATTTTATGTGGCTTTTGAAATTTAAGTCTGAGTCCATTATCACTCCTAGATTTCTGACCTGATTTGAGGGTTGTAGAGAGAGAGCCTGGAGGTGACAAATAACGCTCTCTCTTTGTTTCTGGGGTCCGAAAACAATTATTTCAGTTTTGTCGGTGTTTAGTTGGAGAAAGTTATTTTGCATCCAATCACCGATTTGCTGGACACAGTGAAGGAGCGAGTCCACTGGTTCATGCTCTCCTGCTGTCAGGGACACATAGACCTGAGTATCGTCAGCGTAATTGTGATAAGAGACATTATTACTGTGAATCAACTGACCTAGAGGCAACATGTAAATATTAAACAGAAGAGGACCCAGGATTGACCCCTGTGGCACTCCGCAGGTCAGGGCCAAGTGGTCTGAGGTACAGTTTTCGATCTCCACAAAAAACTTTCTGTCTTGTAAATAGGACCTAAACCAGCTTAGGGCGGTGCCAGCAACACCAACCCAGTCCTCAAGTCTCTGAATGAGGATGCCATGATCAATAGTGTCAAAAGCAGCACTTAAATCTAACAGAAAAAGGACTGAGACTTTTCCTGCATCAGTGTTTAGTTTGATGTCATTTGTTACCTTTATTAGCGCGGTCTCAGTGCTGTGGTGGGGTCTAAACCCTGACTGGAACATATCATAAGCGTTATTGATTATTAAAAATTCTGTAAGTTGTTGATAGGCAACTTTTTCTAGAATTTTTCCCATGAAAGGCAGATTTGAAATGGGCCGATAATTTTTGAGTGCCAGGGCTTCCAGACTCCTCTTTTTTAGGAGGGGCCTGATGACCGCCGTTTTCAAGGCCATTGGGAATGTTCCAGATTCAAGAGACATATTAACTATTTGTGTAAGTGAAGGTAAAAGACTGCTCAGAACTGACTTGAGAAATCTAGGAGGTAATACATCCAGGCTGCATGTGGAGGAACTCAGACTAGTGATTATCTCCTGGACTTTTTCAATTTGTACTGGTGTAAAGTGCGTCAGCCCAAAAAGCCTCACTGGCGGTTGGATTATTATTTCTATCGTGGAGGTGATGGCGTTTTTGATACCTTGGACTTTGTCATTAAAGAACTGAGCAAACTCATTACATTTAGATTTGGAAGTAAGTTCTGATGGCATCTTAACAGGGGGATTCGTCAATCTATTTACTGTTGAAAACAGAACACGTAGATTGTTGCTACAGCCTTCAATAGTTTCAGAAAAGTACATTTCCCTTGTTCTACGTAGTTCCCTGTTAAAATTGCACAACGCATCTTTGAAGATCTCATGGTCAACTTTGAGATTTGACTTTCGCCACTTCCGCTCGGCCTTCCGGCACTCTCTCTTCTGTGCCCTGACCGAGTCTGCTTTAGTCCATGGCGCTTTTTGCTTGTTTGTAACTATTTTAACCTTTACAGGAGCAATTGTATCCAGAACATTCAAAACAGTGGTGGTGACAGAGTCAAGTAATTCATCTACAGTAACACACAACGTGTTCTCAAAGTTTTACCCTCCCCATGAACAGTTCGCCTGTATTATCATTTATGTGTCTTCTTCTAACAACCGAAGATTCAGCTGGTGGTTTACAATCGAGACACATGTCAAAAAATACACAGAAATGATCAGACAGAGCAACATTGACCACATTTACATTTGAAATATCAACCCCCTTGGTAATTAACAGATCGAGAGTGTGTCCTCTGCTGTGGGTGGGGCCACTCACATGCTGAGTGAGACCAAAGGTTTCCAGCACAGAGCTCAGCTCTATTGCATATCTATCATTAGCATTATCTACATGTATATTGAAATCACCTATAATGACTAAACCATCAAAATCTGTGCACACAACTGAAAGCAACTCAGTGAAATGATCAGTGAAACTATGGCATGACTGTGGCGGCTTGTACACAACAATAATAAGAATGGAAGAAGATTTCTTTTGTTCTATTTTAAAAGAAACATACTCAAATGATGAAAATTTCCCAAGAGACACTCTATGGGAGACAATACGATCTTTAAAAACTGCTGCTATGCCCCCCCCCCTTTTATTTTCTCGTGTTTCATATTCAAATTTGAAATTTGGTGGTGAGGCTTCTATTAAAACTGCATCTCCTGTATTATGGTCAAGCCATGTTTCAGTCATAAACATAAAATCAAGATCATACGAACAGATAAAATTATTAATTAAAAATGATTTGTTGCATAGTGATCTGACATTAAGTAGAGCAAGGTTAAAATTAATATCAGTGTCAGTGGGTTTAGTTGATTGATTACAAAGAACTGGAATTAGATTTCCAGAGTTGGACCGTCTAACTGCTGTCCTTCTTTTAAATTTGTGTTTATTCAAGTTAAAACACATTTCTGAGCTGGTGCGAGGAACACACACAGTCTCTATTGGTTTAAAAAGTGAACTCTGTTGTACTTTGTTAAGTTCCAGATGCATAACTGAGTCAGCACAGTTCAGTGGCAGGACTGTCGTTACACTGCCAGACGGACAGGGGTCAGTGTTTGCACCACAGTACTCACCCGGTGCTGGTAAGGAGGAGGAGGGGGGGGGTGGTGGGGGCCGAGAAGCCTCAGATGTAAACAGTCACGCCCCCCTCGGGGAGCACTGAACAACATGGCGTAGGAAGTCCGTCAACAAACTGGTGCCGTATTTGTTCGGGTGCAGACCATCTGTTTATGGACAAAACTTTACCATATTTATGACTAGGCTAAAATTCATTGTGGCGTTCTATACATTTTCACCATTAGCATTCTTTTTTTAAATGTTGTTGGAATAAACGACTTATTGTTTTGTTCTGCAGGTATCAGCACAGAGCCACAAGTGCAATGCAAGAGGCCAAGGATGAGTTCAGTAAGTGTTTCCTGTCTCACCGTGTAATGTATTTAGTTTTAATATTATCTGTTTGTGGGTGTGGGACAGACTCATTTAAACTCCACATCAGTATGCATTGACTACATGCATATGCATCCACATGTAATTAATCTGGATGAGCGCAGAAGTTTATATGCAACTTCTAAGTCCAACTGGGACCTGCCTCAAGCAACTGCACAGCAAAAATTTTAATACCAACAGAAAAAAACTTCATAATGGACAGCAATCAACGTGTATTACTGACTTAGGAATGCATTAGTATATAATTATATTTTTTATTTTATCAAAGCTCTGTTTGGTTTAAACTGGGTTTAAGCCAGGGTACATGTAGGGACCATAGACTGTAATATTTGTGTCTCTATACAATACATTCATAATAATTACGGTTAGATTCAATATTCATCGCAATTTCAATATACTTTTGCGATCCACGATTTATTGATTTTTTTTACTATTTATTTGATATTAGTCTGAAAATACTTAATTTTAGAATATTGTTCAAAAGTCCATTTTCTTCTGTTATTCAACTAATGAACTAACAAAAGTAATATATGACAAACTCATTACAAGCTGTAATAATAATCATTATGGCTCACAGCTTGTAAAATCTCTAAATAAAACATTGTAGAAAATATTTTTAAGTTATGATCATATACAAACATAGAACCAACAAAGGCTTGGCACTATCTCACGTTGCAGGTGATTTTTTAATAAATTGGTGTCACATTTTCAGATGAATTACTACCTTAAACTTGGGTATGATATTTTAATTTTCCGAGTTTCACCTGTAAGTGACACGACTTCCAAATTTCACCATTTTGTTTCAACCATCAGGACTCAAACTGTTTTTTTTTTTGCCCCGTTTGTTTTTGACGTTGGGTGTACATAAGAAAAATATTAGGATTAGTATTATGTTATCATCATAAAGGATTTATTTCCACTATTAACGATGGTGAAAACAATTTAATACTGCAGCTTGAATAACATAGATAGCTAAAAGATAAGTTGCGTGTGATTTTCCAATACAGTGTGACAAAACCACCATTTAATATTTTCCCAGCATTGGTAAATTTACTTCATATTTTTCCAGTTGATATTGACTATTACAATGCACTCCACCTGCTGGATCTCTACCATATTTAGAAAGTGCAACGTTTTCTTACAAAATCCTTTCAAAAAACGCATTAATATCTTCAGTTAGTAACCTGTGGTCTTTCTCATTCCATTGCTGCATTACTAAACCTGCCAAGCACTCCCAGGCTCTTTGGTTTTCCCTTTTGCTAAAATTGCTTTTATGTGGATAAAATCTGCAGGCGTTACAAGAGAGTACACATAAACTAGGTGCGCTGAGTTTATTTGAGATTTTATCAGTGTTTGTCAAGCAGAAAGGCTCCTGCTCTTGCACCTTCTTCTAGCCTGGAGTTGTTTGTTATAAAATTTGTCTGTCTAGTTTCTCTTCTGTGTACACCTCCCCGGATAAAACTGTGGAATTACAGAAGTTTGTGTGGGGTATTTAAGCGTGGGGTGATCTTAGGTGATAAAAGGCAAGCAATAAAGTTGGGGGTTAAAATTTTGTCCAGATCAGTGTGAAGATTGCATTTTTCTCTCTGTGTCTGAGTGGGTTCCCTTTGAGCGCTCCTGTTTCCCCATTCAATCACTGCATCTCTCAAAACATGCAGCAGTATGACTTTGGTGACAGCCTGCTTCCATCACCAGTCCGATTGAATGAGTAGTGACTTCACTTTACATTTTTGAGAGGTTAATAAGCCTGTTAAGCGCTTTACAAGTGGAAGGCAATATTATTTTTTATCATTATTGGTTTGTTATAGCCACATTTACAAAGTAAGGAGGGATAAACACAAATTGCATGATATAAAACATATCATTCCGATCACCTCAAATGTCTTTCTTATATCTTTTTTCATATACAGCTGTGCTTGAAACTTGAATGTTTACATATCCAATATCATGCAGATTGTGAATGATATGAATTTTTTAAATTCATTGTTGAGTGAAACCATTTATTGTAAAACAAACGTATTTTGGATTTTTTTAGATCATAATGATAACAGAAACTACTCAAATGACCCTGATTAGAAGTCTCCATCCCCCAGTCATCAATATTGTGTATTTGCCCTTTTTGATCTCTGACAGCTTCATCGGCAAAAAGCCTCCTGCAGGAATATTCCTGGGCTGCCTTGCATGAACCTGGCCTTGTTTGAGATCTCCCCAGCTCCCCAATGATATTATCATTGAGCCGCTCACTCAAAAACATGTTTATTTGACAGTCCTGTTTATTGGTGGGAAATTATTTTTTCCAGGGACATCATAATACTGTGCCAGACAAATTATATTTTCTTTTTTCTGTGAAAGCCACTTATAAATAAACTAAGATATTTCAAAAAGAGAAAGAGAAAGAACATGGAGTCAGAATAGCTGTTGTATTTGTGTAAAGTTGGTTTATAGCTCATCTTTAGGATCTCTGACAATTGTTCTTTTATTTTAGTCTTTTTTTAAAATCAAGGTGTTATTATTGAAAATGGGTTTTGATATTTCGGTGGCCAATGAGGGGATAGTATGAGATTAACTGCTGGGACGGGTTTGGGAGCTGCATTGAAACATAAATCGAGAAACTTTTCTTTTTTTGGGTTGGGGTTAGTCTTGTGGTGTCTTTGCATTATCTTTTATATGGACCTTGAGTCTGGAATAAAGATGTATTATTATATTATTATTACTATTATACATGAGGCCAGCTCTGGTATATTGCTTCATACATCCACTAAGTGAAAAGAATAATGTTGTTACCATTCCTAAATCAAAATAATATGGCTTAAACAACAACTGATTTCTGATTTTCTGACTGCAAACTCTCAGCCACAACCGCACATAATTCCATCCTCATATACAGCAACTGCTCTTTGAATACATGTCTCCTCAATTAGCAATTCAAATGTGCCCCTCAGAAACCATCTTGCAACTTTTGAAGACCAAGACTATAGTCCTCCTGAGCCCTTGCATGGCGTACAGCGGTAAGTATACACTGCACATATATTTGCATTTAATGAGTATTTACAGTCTGCGCTCTCGTCTCCCTGTAGGCCTGGAGTTATCGTTTTATAGTGGCGTGTACGGGACGTGTATTGGCGCTACTACGCACTTTGGAGGGGCTGCCAAGGGCTTGATTGGGATTTCGGGGATCGTAATAGGCGTTGGAGAAATTGTGGGTAAGTCCTGTTTGATTTTCTGCAGCTGATTTACCCTGTGTAGTGAATTTTTAATATGTTTTCTTTTTCTCGCTCTAGGAGGAGGATTCTTCGGGCTGCTGTGCAAGAACAATCGCTTTAGACGCACCTCAGTGGTCTTCCTGGGAATGGTGGTGCATTTTGTTGCGTTTTATTTGATCTTCTTGAACATCCCGGCCGACGCTCCTGTTGTCTTTAAAACAACCACTCAAATGATTCCGTATCTGTCTCCCAGGTACAGTGGTGGTGTGATTATTTCTTACCCACTGAAAATGGAATAACAATCATCCCCTTAGAATGATGTAGACTGGGTTCCTCTGAGAAAAATACTTTTAAAGGTCTTATCATTCGTAAGGTGTATTGGAACGGGGGATTGTATTGGTGCTCATAAAAACAAGGAACCAAATCCTACAAAATATCAATGAAGTATACAGAAGGTATCCAGGACGCAACTCCATTTGAACAAAGACTCCAAAGAAAACCATATAGTTCAAATCAATAAATACATATTTATAGTTGTATACGCTGCAAATTTCATATTAGGATGCTACCAGTTATATTCAGGTCATTCATTTAGTCAGACATTTGAGCAGAAATAGTCACATTCATCATATTACATACACATGCATAGACATATACTGTACATACTGTACATACACTTAAGCTATATTTAACAGCATTGATATATTTACAAAATGTATCAATGCTGTTAAATATAGCTTAAGTGTGTATCATCTAGAAATTAAGTGGGAAGTGGAGGTCAAAAACGAATATTAAATTAAACAAGGTTGAAACTTCCTGACTGATGACTCAGATTAATAGGTTTGCTCTCATTAGTCTGCCCCAGGTCGGCTGTAGAAGTTTACCTCCATGGGTTAGGGTTAGCATTATTTTTAGCATGTTCTTTCATCATTATTGTACTCAAATCCACTGCTTTTTATGGTGAAATGCCATCATTTCTGCCAGCCTGGTCTTACCATACCATCGTACTAATTTGGGAAATGATAATTGACCAGAGTTTTTGGATGGCTAAGGCCAGGCTAGATTTCTGCAGTTTTGAACTGAAAATTAAGTTGTTCATTATTTAATATTCAGTCTTGCTCTTCTGCCTTTGCCTGGTTCTAACGCGCACACCTTTGTTTTCCAGCGTGTCAATTGCTCTGCTGTGCAGCTTCCTCCTTGGACTCGGAGACAGTTGCTTTAATACGCAGCTCTACAGCATCCTGGGGCGCATTTACGCCGAGCAGAGCACCCCTGCCTTTGCCATCTTCAAATTCATCCAGGTAAATCCCAAAGAGCAATGACAAATGTTGTTAGTAAAGCAGAACAAAGCTAGATTTTTGTCTTGTGAAAAATGAATATCTTGAAACAGCTTTAAAAACAGACACTAGACCAATACCTGCTGCTATGGGATCAAACTGAAATAAATCAAAGTTGAAAAGTGGTCTCTTCCTGGTGGGACGTGCCCGGAACACCTCCCCAGGGAGGCGTCCAGCACAGAGGCCTGAGCCACCTCAACTGGTTCTTTTCGACATGGTGAACTCCTCTTGTGTGACTGAGTTCCTCAACTTATCTCTAAGGGAACGCCCAGCCACTCCGCTCATTTGGACCGCTTGTTTTTGCAATCTCATCCTTCCGATCATCAAAGTTCATCACTAAAAAATAAAAAAAATGGTCACAAATAAGCAAAAAGCCCCATGGATAAAAGCAGGCCGCGGTCAGGTGCACAGAAGCATGGTGCCGGAGAGCCCAGAGAGAGAAGTTTCTATACTTTAAAAGAGAAGTTGTGTGTGAGGTTAAACAGAGTACAAAAAAAAAAATTTGAAGAGCTGCAGCAATAATCTGCGTGTTCTATTTTCAACAATCAATAGATTAACGAACCCCCCTGTTGAGTTGCCATTAGAACACTACTCCAAATCCAGGTGTAATGAGTTTGCACAGTTCTTCAGAGACAAGGTTCAGGGTATCAGAAATACCATCACCTCTACAACACAAGTAACAATGCAACATCCAGTGAGGCTTTGTGAGCTAGCTCAATTTGCACCTGTCAATGATGAAACTGTTAAAAAGATAATCACAGGTCTTAGTTCCTCTACCTGCAGTCTGGATGTACTACCTCCTAGATTTCTGAAGTCTGTTATGTGTAGTCTATTACCCTCATTGACACAAATAGTAAACATGTCTTTTTTATCTGGAACATTTCCAATGGCCCTGAAAAAGGCAGTCATCAGGCCCCTCCTAAAAAAGAGCAGTTTGGATGCTGCGGTACTTGAAAATTACCGTCCCATCTCAAATCTGCCATTCATGGGAAAAATTCTTGAAAAAGTTGCCTACCAACAACTTACTGAATTTTTAACATCTAATGACTCATTTGACATGTTTCAGTCTGGCTTTAGACCACACCACAGTACTGAGACCGCTCTAGTCAAGGTAACAAATGATATTCGGCTTAACACTGATGCAGGAAAAGTCTCTGTTTTAGTCATGTTAGATCTGAGTGCCGCTTTCGACACCGTTGACCATGAGATTCTCATGCAGAGACTGGAGGACTGGGTTGGTGTTGCTGGTACCGCCCTAAGCTGGTTTAGGTCCTATCTAGAAGAAAGGAAGTATTGTGTGGAGATTGGAGACTATGTCTCCGATAATATGGCCCTGACCTGCGGAGTGCCACAGGGGTCGATTCTGGGACCTCTCCTGTTCAATATTTACATGCTGCCATTAGGTCAGTTAATTCAAAGTATGAAAGTGTCCTACCACAATTACGCTGATGACACTCAGATCTATGTATCACTGACTGCAGGAGAGCATGGACCGGTGGACTCACTCCTTCGCTGTATCCAGCGGATCAGTGAGTGGATGCAATGCAATTTTCTCCAGCTAAATGCGGACAAAACCGAAATGATTGTCTTTGGTCCCGAGAAACAAAGAGAGACCGTCATTTGTCACCTTCAGTCTCTCTCCCTAAGGCCTTTAAATAAGGTCAGAAATCTGGGAGTAATAATGGACTCTGACTTAAACTTCAATAGCCACATTGGATCGGTAACATCAGCAGCTTTTTATCATCTGAAAAATATTGCCAAAATTAAAAATATTGTGTCCAGGGCAGACTTGGAGATTCTTATCCATTCTTTTGTTTCCAGTAGGCTGGATTACTGCAATGGCCTGCTCACAGGTATCTCCAAACATGCAGTAAAACAGCTGCAGTATATTCAAAATGCTGCAGCCCGAGTCCTGACTAGAACCAGGAAGTACGACCACATTAGTCCGGTCCTCAGGTCTCTGCACTGGCTTCCCGTGGCCCAGAGGATAGACTTTAAAACAGCTCTCCTGGTGTACAAGTCTCTCCATGGCCTTGCACCAAAGTACATCCATGATATGCTAGTCCCATATGAACCAGCCCGGACTCTGAGGAGCACAGGGACTGGACTCCTGTTAGTGCCCAGAGTCAGGACTAGACAGGGGGAGGCTGCTTTTCAGATTTATGCAGCTAAAGTCTGGAACAGTCTTCCTGAGGATGTGAGACTGGCTGCCTCTCTGTCAATGTTCAAATCCATGTTAAAGACTTTTCTTTTTTCCTGTGCATACAACTAGAGAATTTTATCTTTTTAACACACCTTGTTATTTATTGTTGTAACTTTTTGTGTTTTTAACTATTTTATTGTTTTTAATTACTTGTGTGATTCTTATGTTTTTAAATTACTTATGTGATTTTAATGCTTTTTAATTACATATGTGTTTTTAATTGTATTTTAATGGTGATGATTTGTGCATTGTGTGGTGTGGACTGTGAGGCGCTTTGTGTTGCCCTGTGCAGGAAAAGCGCCCTATAAATAAAGATTGATTGATTGATTGACTATAGGTGAGGGAGGGAACGGAGATTAAGTTTTCTCTCATATCTCAGATATGTATTGCCAAATGTCCAAATAAAGCAACTGGATGAAGTTGTAAACAAATTTGTAAAAAAAAAACAAAAAAAAACACCCAAAGAAATAGTCTAAAACATTACCCTTTTGTGAGCTTTGACCCAGTATAACACTGTTTGCTTTTGGCTCAGTGGCTCAGTTGGTAGAGCATTAGCCTTTGGGCCTGTAGGTTGTGGGTTTGAGCCCACCGTAAGACCTACTTCACAACTCCCACTGATTGTGTCCTGTCGTTGCGTCCTTGGGCAAGACACTTAACCCCACTGTACCTGAAGCCCCCACTGGAAGATCAAGGCTCCTATGCAGGAGCACCACCTGCAGGAGGATCAGTGAGCCCCTCCCAACCCAGATATGTATTAAGGGGAAGAAAATGGATGGATGGATGTTCTGCTCTCATCAACCCCCTTCATCCACTCAGAGCTATTTTCAAAGAATGAAAAAGAAAATGAAGCTATCAGTTCTGCAGGTTTGGAAGTCAATGGACCAGTTTCTATTGCAAAGCTGTTTTAAATCACAGTGAACAGATAGTGATCATTACTATATAAAGTTAAAATGCATAATTTACTTTATGCTTTAAAAAAGTCCAACTATTTTGTAGCCTACTATTAGCTAATGGTTTTCAAGATGTCCTCAGCAGATCTAAAGCCGATAAACATTTGAGTATATTAATATAATGTATAAACCACACATCTCAACCACAATCTTTCAGCCATTTTTGAGACTGCAGTGTGGTTCAAGGATAGAGCAAAAATATTAGTTGTTGAAAGGTGCTTTTGAGGAGTTTTAGTTAGTATTAGAGGTTACATAAGGAGCAACTCCTCATCAATAAACCAGCGCAGTAACCTGTGATCCGTGTGAGAACAGCTCTTGAGTCTGTAAATGTAAATGTACCACGCTTACAAATCTGAAGGTAATATCGTTATATATGTGTAACATTCACATTCACGAGAAAGCCTTGGCCAGCCATTGTATATTTCGAATGCAGTGCAGAAGAAACACTTCTAAATATGCAGGAAAATATATTCAGTGAAATAATATGCTAACCTTTTTTCCAACTCAGAACTACATACAGTGCTAAGATTACTTGCATTCTGGTCTTTTCAGATATTTTTTTCTGTTTGTAGGAATTGCATTTCTTGATCATGTAACTGGGTGTGTCAAGTATAGCAAGGTATTTTTTCTTTTGCAGAAAAATGTGTTGGGTAATAAATGTGTACAGTAATACCAAATCTATAGCCCTTCACAAAGTAAATAGTCAAATGTCAATCAAAAGACTTGATTGCATACAATGATGACTCTTACTTTTACACTTGACGTAATGTTTTAAAGCTAGGGAACCTAACTTTGAAACCGACATAATAAAATCCATGTAACAAGTTCTTAGCCCTAAAACAGTTTGTTTCACTAGTTTTCACGTGCATGTGAAAACTGTCACATCTTTAGGCCAGCTTTTTCCGACAGAAAAGTAAAAAAGATTACCACCCTCACTCAGCCAATCAGCTCTCAGTATGACCAAGAAAAGCATTTTCTAAAAAGATGAAGACAGCATGTTGTTTTCAAAATGTTATGGACCAACAAAATGTCCTTATAAAACAAAAACAGTGAGGTATTCCAGCTTTAACGTGTGAAATGTTCCCTCAGTCCGTCTTCGCGGCCGTAGCGTTCTTCTACAGCGGTCACCTCCTGTTGATGTGGCAGCTGCTCGTGATGGTGGTCCTGGGGTTCATCGGGACCCTCTGCTTCTTTGTGGTGGAGAGGATGCAGAACTTCACCGGGGATCTGCAGGAATATTAACTACACATGGACTCATCACGGTGCCATATTTAGGACAATACCACTCAGTTGATGCTGGACTCTTAAACTTGAACCCAGAATTGTTTCATTACAGGCTATATCTATGGTATACAACACATGACACACATACACACTCACACACACAGAAAGTAAAAAAAAGAAATTGGTATTCATTTCAGCCTTTAAAATCAGGTATGATCCTGGTTATGGGAATGCTGTATTATAATATTTGATAGGGCAAAATTGACTTCCTTCATTTAAAAACCAGAACAAATGTAATGTATGTGAAAGTAAACGCCACCAGCTCTGAAGAAACAACTGACTTTGAACATGATATTGTGGATCTTATTACAATAATAGTACAGTCATTGCCTGATAAAATAAAATAACAATAGTTTATACATGTGCTATGAAGTGACTACTAACCTTAATGGCAAACAGAAGCTGAAAAGACCATCTCCATCCTTCATACAGTGGAACAGATAAACAAATGCATATTTAAACTGGGAATATCAACATTATCCCTGTATATTTTTTATAAATTAACTGTGCATTTAACTTTTTGTTGTCAGATGTTTGTTTTTTTTATTGGGAAAAATAAAAGGACTTTTTGGTTGGTGGTCATTATCTTATGCTGGATTGGAGTACAGAGTTATTCTCAGAGCTAGTTTACAATGTTCATATTGTGTTCTTTTTATCACTCCTGTTGAGCATCGCACTACCACATACTGATTTAACACATGTTTATTCCTTTGTCATAGATCGGCTAATTTAAGGTTAGATGCACAAAAATAACAATGGTTATTTTTCTGCATCTAACAAGATAATACACAGTGTCTCATTCTTTAAGCTCCAGCAAACTAAAGCAACTTTGACAATCTCCCTTTGTTATGTTTTGTATGCATAATTTGAAGCAATCTTCTCGTTCATAAAATGAGCTCTAAAAACTGTGGCAATGTGTGTTCAGCTTTTTCTGTGTCAATTTTTGATTCTGATTGAGTTATAGTTTATTGGTGTGTTATTTTGCCCGGCATGTTCCACAGTATAGCTGTGACTTTTACTGACCAAGTTAGAAGTCATCTACGGAGAGGTGAGTCCACTCAATGAAAGAATTTAGATTTTTGATCAAACATCTGTAAATGGAGGGACAATACACAAAATAAGCAACACGCAGGTTGAGGATAGGAAGGGAATGTTAGAATATTATTGAAAAGTCAATTTTTTTCTGAACTTGAAATGTAAAACCGATACATGACTTATTGGATGCAAAGTGACATATGCCAATCCTTTATTGGTTGTAATGTTGATAGATCAATCAATTAATCAATCACATTTCATTTATAAAAGGCTTTTCATACAAAACATTCAACACATAGTGATTACAGTTCATTTTCAAAATTCACCATGCTTTTATTGGGGTTTGACCAAAATGATCTACATTCTAACATATAAAGGCATGGTGTATCTCACTTTGCGTGTTATTAGTCTGTCATACATGGTTAAGTTGAGAAGTAAATGGACTTTTGAACTATATAATAATTTCCAGAGTCAGACAGTAACCAATGTGCAGACTGTGCGTGTGTGTGTGTGACTATGTTTGACTGAGGCTGTCTGTTGGGGGGCTGAGGAGCTGGGTCATTGGGCATGTGGGTTTGATGGAAACCAAGCAAGTCCAAACAAGCAAGTTTTTAGTTTCTATAGGAGTAACAGGTAAGCCAGGGCCATGACCCCGCTGTGGTGCAGTATTGCTCTGGGTATTGAGGTGTGAATGTGGATGAATTAGTGTGATCAGAACTTCATCCCATAGATCAGAACTTCTTCCCGTAGTCATACACCCTCCTTGGTGGAAATGGTTTACGGCTATAGATAGATGGATAAGACCCCTGCAATGACACGCCTCCTTTGTCCTGCCACTATACAAATGCATATCAATCTTAAATGACAGCCATTGTAAATGTGAAAGCTATAAAAAGCTGTATTATTTGTGGAGAAGCTGGATATGAGAGTTGTAATGAGTTATACTAAAAGTGGTTCTATAATATTTTGTTTGTGAATAATAGTATTACAGATTCATATTGAAAGTCCATGTACAATACACAAAAATATCAAAATAAATGTACAGAAAACATACATGCTTTAACTTGCACATTGTTACTGAAAAGGAAAATTAATCTGCACATGCTTAAAAAAAAAAAAAAAAACTTCATGTTGAGTTGTCAAAAAGTATCTGCAATGCAAAATTATGTCATTCACCACATTGGGCATATCCTGGCTTGTTTCTATTATGCCGTTCAAGAGAAATGTCAAGCCCCGATTTCTAAAGCAGTCCAAAAACAGCATGAGGCGACTGTACTTACTGCACACTCACCAGATTCATGCAAAAGCCGCTCTGCCATTAATCAAAAGTGGAGCTCTAGTTTGGAGAGAAAAGGTTATAGGCCCACAGGGTACCACATTACTTCACTGGTAATTGAATATTGATCACATTATAATGAGAGTAAGCACTTTTGCCCGATCTTAAGTCAATTGTGCCACTTAAATGACAAACAAAGCACTGATCGGCAAATTGGAGAGCGCAGCATTAACTCAGCATTTAGGTTTGTGTAAGCCCTCAGTCGTACAGGGATTAGTCAAAGCAAAGGAAGGTTTCTCACCCATCATCTGTACTTCTTAGCAAGTTTTCCCGACGTTTCGTCCTCAACCTGGGGACTTCTTCAGGGAATGAATTCTCGGACCGCGCGTTGGAGATTTATAACCTATGGGTGTGGTAAGCCACACCCTAACCCTGATACTAACTCGTAAACAATCTCAGGTCTGCTTGATGTAGAAGGGAGCAGGTCTAACGACCCTGCTGAGGCTAACGACCCTAACTCCTTAGCATGTCACAGACCTATTGTCTGCTGGGATGCTCAAGTGGAGTGCAGGTTTCACCCCTCCTAACTCATTAGCATGTCACTGACCTTGTCCCAAGTTTGGGCGTTGTTTTTAGGATGTCGTCATAGATGCGAGGCAAAACAAATCTTAACCCTCCTCCTCTGTTAAGAGAAGGTTTCTGTTTCCTCACAAAAATGGCTTCTTTCACCCCTCTCTCAAACCAATTCTTCTCCCGAGCCAGAATTTTAACCTCTGTGTCATCCACCGTGTGGTTGGAGGCCTTGAGGTGGAGATGAACAGCCGACTGTGGCCCACTAGAGTTTTCTCTACGATGTTGGTAAAGTCGTTTCTGTAGAGTTTGTTTGGTTTCTCCAATATAGTGGTCAGTGCACTCCTCTTCACTACATTTAATTGAATACACCACATTGCTCTGTTTGTGTCTGGGTGTTTTGTCTTTGGGATGCACTAATTTCTGTCTTAACGTGTTGAAAGGTTTGAAATACACAGGGATTTTGTGTTGCCTAAAGATTCTTTGTAGTTTCTCTGAAACTCCCGCCACATACGGTAAGGACACCCCTCTCCTCCTACTTTCTTCTGTCTGTTGGACTGTGTCTCTGGCCTTTCTCGTCCTTTGGGCTTTAGTAAAAGACCACTTGGGGTAGCCACATCTGGAAAGTGCTCTCTGAACATGTTTGGTTTCTCTGTTCTTTCCCTCCGAGCTAGTGGGGACCTGGTGGGCTCGGTGTTGAAGCGTTCTAATGACCCCGAGTTTGTGTTGTAGCGGATGATTTGAATCAAAAGCCAAGTACTGGTCAGTGTGAGTGGACTTTCTGAAGACCTCAGTCTCTAATTGTCCGTTCTCCAGTATGATGACCTTACAATCTAGAAAGGCGAGTTCACTCTCCTTAGCATCCTCGCGAGTGAAATTTATAAAAGGGTCCACCGAGTTAATGTGTGCTGAAAATGGTTCCACTTCCTGTTTCTTTAACTTAACCCATGTATCGTCTACATATCGAAACCAATGGCTTGGCGCTGTCCCTTGGTAAGAGCCCAGGGCTTGTTCCTCCAGTTTCTCCATATACAGATTGGCCACTATAGGAGAGACTGGGGAGCCCATCGCACAGCCATGAATCTGTCTAAAGAAGGTGCCTCTAAATTGGAAATACGTGGTGTTAAGACACATTTCAAGTATTTCACAGATGTGGTCAGCTGTTAGTTTCGTTCTCTCCCCTAGTGTGGCGTCTTTCTGTGATTGAAAACACTATGTGATGGTGGGTGTTACCCACCAAAGTTGGTAACACCCACCATCACATAGAAAACACAAAAGAATTTGTGAATAAAATCAAACACCTCCAGTTTGACACAGATGAGACAATGGTCTCGTTTGATGTGACATCGCTTTTTACGTCGGTCCCTATTACAGAGGCGGTGGAGGCTGTAAGAGAAAGCCTACAGAAAGACGCCACACTAGGGGAGAGAACGAAACTAACAGCTGACCACATCTGTGAAATACTTGAAATGTGTCTTAACACCACGTATTTCCAATTTAGAGGCACCTTCTTTAGACAGATTCATGGCTGACGGACAGGAAGCAGCGAGTGCGTCTGGGGAAGAATGTCTCGGACTCTCGGATTATAAATACAGGAGCCCCACAGGGCTGTGTTCTTTCTCCCCTGCTCTTCTCCCTGTACACCAACCACTGCACCTCCAGCCACGACTCCGTGAAGCTGATCAAGTTCGCGGACGACACCACCCTCATTGGACTCATCTCCAACAACGATGAGTCCGCCTACAGGAGGGAGGTGGACCGGCTGGTGTCCTGGTGCAGTGGTAACAACCTGGAGCTGAACGCCCAGAAGACAGTGGAGATGATTGTGGACTTCAGGAAGAGCACTGTCCCCCCGCCCCCACCCTCCGTGATGGACTCCCCCATCACCTCTGTGGAGTCCTTCCGTTTCCTGGGCACCACCATCACCCAGGACCTCAAGTGGGAGCCGACCATCAGCTCCCTCATCAAGAAGGCCCAGCAGAGGATGTACTTCCTGCGGCAGCTCAGGAAAGCCAAGCTGCCTGCACAGATGTTGGTGCAGTTCTACACGGCCATCATCGAGTCCATCCTCACCTCCTCCATCACCGTGTGGTTCGCTGGAGCCACAGTCAGGGACAAACAGAGACTACAGCGCATTGTGCGCTCTGCAGAGGAAGTGATCGGCCGCAGCCTTCCATCGCTGCAGGACCTGTACGTCGCCCGAGCTCGAGGCCGGGCTGGTCGTATCACAGCCGACCCCTCTCACCCTGCACATGGACTATTCCAACCACTCCCCTCAGGCAGGAGGCTGCGGTCCATCAGGACTAGAACCTCCCGCCACAAAAACAGTTTCTTCCCCTCTGCTGTTGGACTCTTGAACACTTCTTAACCTGTCCCCCCGCCCTTTATAAAGTCACTTTACTGCCCATCATACGTCACTTTACTTCACTGTACTGCTGTCACCTTACATTGTGTGCACCATGTGCACTTGTATATTGTAAATAGTAACTGTAACTCTATTTTAAATTTAAATTTATTCTTTAGAAGTGTTTTTTATTCTTATTTTTATTATCTCTTTTTGACTGTTGCACTGAGCCAAAGCAATTTCCAAGTCTGTGACCTCCCGTTACTTACGTTGGCAATAAAAATGATTCTGATTCTGATTCTGAAGTTGGTCTCTCACCTCTGTTACCAATTTGAAAATAATTGAATCTCTGTATAAGAAATCTCTTAAAGTTTTTGACAGAAACCTAATTCAATTCATGCATGCAATATTTTAAACAAGTACACTCTTTTACATTTTGAATGTTTTATCAACTTCAAGTATGTATGCTTCATTTACAAAGTGCTATTGGACTAGCCCCACCTCCTGTATCGGCCTTATTCAAACCTAGGACTTGAAGTGGTCTGAGAACTAGGGCCTCCTCCAGAGGAGACTGTGAGGTCCCCTTCAGAAAAAACTGCCTTTGGACAGAACTCTCTCTCTGTGAGGGCCATGAACATCTGGAACAGTCTCCCTCTGCACTTACGTGAGAGTCCTACACTGGTCACCTTTAAAACTCAAATCAAACAATGACTGAAAAGAAACCAGTCATGTGACCACTAGACTCTTAGCTTTTCCCTGTGCTGTCTTTATTGTATTCTAATTTGGCCGTATTTACTGTTTACTAATATAATGTAAGTGTATGTGCAGTTTCCCCAGGCTGAATGAGAACTAAACCCATTATTATTATAGATCCATGGGACTAAATCCAAAGTACTGGGCTCACAGCTAGCTGGCTTTCTTTGGGAAAACTCCAGCCGGGCTAACTCTGTATTCTTATTAAGATTTTTAACAAAATCACACCAGACCCCCTTTTGCAATGTTTATTTCCCTCAACGCTGCTTTAAAACTTTCAGAGAATTTGGCTAAAAAGAAAATCAAACATGCAACCGTGTGAATGAGTGTTATTGAATTGTGTCACATTGGCAAAATGCTTGTTGGTAATTAGCGTGCTGATATGAAAAACACCTAATTAATGTGTTCAGTTTGATTGGCTTCAGCGGTTAGTGAGGCCCATATTCACACCTGTATCTTTATAGAACACACCTGACTATATTAGATGGATTATTTTTTTGTCCACGCTACTTGCTTTTTTATTGTATTAGTTAATTGAATAGAGACAGTACACATCCATCAACATTACCTTAAACGTGCCAGTATTAGCTGTACACCTAGTTTCAAATAGTAGGTGTAGAACGCTAACAAAAAAGACGCTAGTAAGATATTATAATTTAAAAATAGAAGTTTTTAATTTCTGTACATAAGAGTGGCCTTTTCTTTCTCTTTTGCCTATTAATTTTTTTTTCTCCATCTCAAAATAAGTATTTGCAGATTATATTAGTATGTGCATGTTTTGTATAAAAATAAAACCAAATATTGCTTATCGATTGTGTATTTTAGGGATTTCTAATTGTAAGATTCAAATTTGTATAAATCATGTTTAACAAAACCTAGTCAGTCAGAAATCCATTTTAATTTTCTTCTATTGAGAAAAAATAATGTGAGAAGTGTCAGAATCTTTTTATTTCCATGTGAGAAACAGGAAGTCACAAACTAGGAAAGTCCATCAGCGTTTTAGCCAATTTATCATTCATTCTCCTTAATAGGACATTTTTTAATTAGTCATGGTAAGAGTTTTCAAACTTTTTCCCCAATGTATGTGTGAAATAAACATGCAGCCTCACATTTCAAAACAGTATCATTATGAAATGTCAAAAATCCATTGTATTGTGATATTCGAGAGTGGAACTGGATTTCCCTGAATCTCTCATAAATATTATTGTTTTGCATCAAATAATTGGAGTAAATTGATAAATACAAAGACAAGCTTAGAACATTATCCTGAATTCATCCCTGCTCCCCCACCTTAGTGCTTCAGGGTCCACACTTTGAGAACCACTGAGTTATGGTAATGGGATCAACAAAATGGAAATGAACACTGACAGCCATTAAGTAGTTGCTTTTCACATTGGAAAAAATAAAACCTAATTGAAAAACCAAGATTGTCCAGGTTGTCCGCTAATGTTTCATTTTCCATGTCGCCCAGCCTCACAGTCACAGTTATTATTATGTCCACCAGAAGCTGACAGAGAAGCTGAGTTGGAGCGAGCGGACATAGTGCCAGTGTTGGACAGGGATGAACAGCACGTCTCCCGGCCGCAGCACACATTCGAGATACGGCGCCTTTGCAAACTCAGGGAACCGCTCCATATCAGGGTTTTCCACATCCACCTGCAAAGAGAGAGAAAAAAAATAAAAAATAAATCACAAAATTGGAAATGCAGCGTTTATTTCTGTGGCGCAACATATATTATCTGCAAACGGTGTCAATCCCACCTGACTGGTATTGTGGAGCAGCGATGATGGATGAGGGTAGAGGTTGTCTGTGTGCTCCGGGGAGTAAAGGCGAATGTATTTGCTTCCCACCACCTGCAGATGTACAGAGGCACAAAGTCCTATGTTTTAAATATGCCTCACTGACATGACAAATCTGTGAAATGAACTAGAACTATAGCAGAGTAGGAGCTGGGGGTACACTGACATGCAGGCACATTTACAAGAAAGTAGGGATTGATAATCATTATTTTTTCAATACGTTCTTGAATTTAGCAGTATTTTATCTTTGACAAATATATATGCTATTTTCTCAAGCAAATATATATTCAACAGTATCTTCCTAGTCATTGAGGAAGTTCGATTCAATAAAATAAAAAGAAATGGTAAATGCTATTGAAGTTTCTCTCTGTTTTTCGGTACCAATGAATAATCAGTTAGCTGTGGAGTAATATCTAAAGTCATCGTCAGGTTAAAATTTGAAATGGGGACATCCCTATGAGAAAGTATAACAAAAATCACATTGTCTAAAAATCAAAATGAACATTGATTAGTCACAGTAGCAGATGCGAGAGAATAAACACAGCTGCTTACGGATATTATTTTGACTTTTTCTGGGGACAAAGCAACTTTCTTTTGGCACCGAATGATTCCCCGTGCTCAGAGATTTGGTGATAACTACAAACCCTTGACTGTTGCAAAACGATGCATTTCAATAGGCTTCATGGTCAAGATTTACTGAGAATAATACACTAAAATAAAAAGTATGTTCTAAACGAGACATGAATTATGGGGCATTTACGGTTGAAACAAAAATGTATCCCTAATCCGAGCATAATGTGAGCGAGTTTGGTCATTCTAAAACCAGATTGCTCGTGTCACCTTTCTTTATTTATATTTGCTGAATCGTGTCAGAATCGGAGTGTAATATTTGTCAATGTAGTTTACAATTCAAAACCAAATATTACCTTGAATGGTGGAAATGGAAGAATGTGAGAGGTGTAAACCAATTCAATGTCCAGTATGTTCTACTTCCACATATTTCCAATGATGGGAGCCGTGTGTGACTTTACCTGCGCCAAGAAGTTTTGCTGCGGGTCCTGGTGCAGCGGCGAAACCGTGCCTCTGGGTCCAAACCACGCGTTCACCGTGATGTGCTCCTCCTCTGTGTCGCCAAGGCAACAGTAATCAGGGACGCGGATGTCCTCCTTCAGCTCCGGGATCTGAGGAGACGCAAGTGCAATCTATTCTTACTTAGCTACTTGAGAAAGAGTGAAGTTAGTAGTCACCAGGCCACCCTATTTTCTCACAGAATGTCTGGTTTGACCTGATACAGAATGTTAGTCGTATAGCAGTAGGTTGAGCAGACTTTTTGTTATGGTGAGTGTGTGCATTGATTGCGATATCCCAATCGTTGCTGCTGTAGACTGTTCTATTAGACCATCACAGCGGTCACTTATGCCACAAATTTCAGCTAGGGATTAGCATGAATGTACAAGTTGTTTTACTTGGAGTGGAGCTTGCGAATCACAGATTTCTCTGATAAGTCTTCCTGAAAATGTAAGACAGCCAGGCCATAACTTTTTGAACAATGTTCAAAGCCAGGTTTCAGCTTTCTGCACAGTTCTTTAAAAATTAAATGTAATGTGATTGCTTGTATTACAATTTGAATACTTATCTAATTGTTTTTTAAAGAAATTGCTTTGTGTATCCTAAAAATAAAAATAAATTCTTGCCTTTCATTCAACTTTTTTGAGGGAATAATATTGTGTTTAGTTTGTTCTGAGTTGTTTTACTATGTAGGATGTTAGCAAAGTGCTGTTAATTATTCGGTTTCAATAATGTTCAATAATGTTATAATGGTATATTATGGAAACTATTTTCCTTTTTACCACTTCCATTTTTACTGAATTAGGTAGTGTGAAATAAGAAGCAAAATAAGGCCACTAGTAACGGCTTTTAGTTCGGTATTGGAAAATAAAAAGTTAAAATAATATGCTAACGTGTCTTTGAGCTATTGGAAGGCACAGCAATATATAAACATTTATATATATACAGTATGTATAGAGGGCTAGGGTTTGTCAGTACACACACCAAGAGAAAATGCCATGATGCATTTATGAAAGTTCTTCCACAAAATCAGAGATAAAATATGGCTTTCCAGACTTCAAAAAGCCATTTGAGGTTTCCGGCTTGATAAATCTATTCCAGTGGAAAAACATAAAGTAGTCCATAGTCTATAATGCACTGCTCTAACTTTTCTAGTTTGACAAGGTGCCCTTTCTCATAAAGTTCAGCGCAGACAATGTATCGACTGGGAGGGTAAAATTAGGACAAAAAGTCAATGTTGTTGAGAGCAATGTATTGTAGGATGACAGTCGGCAGAGGGAGAAACTCATTCTTTAAAAGGGGGAAAATATCAACTGGAAAAATCTATTAATGCGCAGATTATTTGACGATTTATCAAAAGTAAATATTTATAAAGCTATGGTTATGATGCGCAGGGGGATGTGAGAGTTATATATATATATTTATTTACAGGGAAACAGGATCAAACGAATGGAAACTTTACCTGATCAAAAAGCTGGTGCTGAGCGAGATAACCCACACCTTTCCCTTGATCCTGGGAGAAGATCGTAAACAGTCAAAATGTGTTTCCAAGTAGAATATTTCAAAGAGGAAATGAACCAAAAACATACACACAAACGTATACTTACTTTGTTTAAAATGAACTTATCAATGAATTCATTGACCGTAGTGAGAGTTTGAGACCACTCTTCGTCAGTGTATCGGGATCCCACTTCCACAGGAACGGTTCTGCAGCCGGCAACACTGCGCAGGTAATCTATGCTTTACAACAAATAAAAGGGAAAAAAGTGATTATTTAGAATAAATAACATATTTACTATTAGCGTTATCATACATTTTACTTATAATACTACAACATATAAATGAGTTCAGTAACACAAATAGGCCAAACAGAAAAACAGCTCAGTACAATTTAGCATAAACAGAATTCAAATGGCACTGTCTGCATCATATTAACATAGATTTATTGTCTCAAAAAGAAGTGAAGAAGGAAAAAGGATTATGTTAACAAATTCCTGTTTGGCATTCCTCAATAATCTAGGGGTGTCAACAAATTTTAGTAAGAGGGCCCCTTCAGTTAACCAGACTTGTCCTGGGGCCAACAACAACTTTTGCAAAACTGTTTTGACTAGATTCGGGCTCTTTTGGTCTTGAAAATTGGGTTTGATATGTCCATACTGATTCACACCACAGTCTGTATATACAAATAAATGTTAACGACTGGATTCCAAAGGTTCTGGTGGGCTTTAGTTTGGACATGCATGATCTAGACAATCTTTAGACAAGTCATCACTCGACCTGAATTTCATGAATGTCAGAATCAGAATTCAGAGTCAGGTGTCCAGACCAATAGACACTTGCAAGTTCGATTCTACTAACAATTTAGATCTGCAGTGAAAGATGTACTATATCACTTTTCTTGTGAAGGGAAAGAACGCGGGTGAAAAAAATCTATCTATTTCTAATAAAAACACTATAACATTACAATACGCTAATATACTGTGAGTGTCTGCTGATGCTGGCCCATCAGATCGCAGAGGGTAAGGCCAAAGGAAAAGCAGCCACACAAATGCCCCGCTTCAAATGTGAGCCTGAAATGAGGTTCTGCTTAACAGGCTAGTATGAAATAAACAAGCTTTTTGAAATGTAAATTGTGCATTGCTATTCGGAAAGAGGGCCAGAATAAATATGTGAACCTTGAAATGAGGGATAATAGGGCAGTCTTTCACTATGCTAGGCAACCGAAAGTAAATATGTTTTGTATGAATAATTGCATAGAGGATGTAGAACAAAAGATTGGAAACTAGATATCGCAAAGCATTAAGTTAAGAAAATACAGACCTCCAGGGATGATAATTAAGCGCAGGCCAGTGGTCAATAGTGCCCTCCAAAATAACAGGTTTTAGTGGGAGGAGGTAGTTGGACTTAAAGCTCTCCAGCGATGGACACTTTACTCTGGGAATTGCCAAGTCGTCTTTGATCACAGGAATGCGTGGGCACTGTGGCAAGTCAATCTTCAGTCTCTGTTAATGATGCCAACACAACAAAGGCTTTTCAGGCTGGTTAAAGCAAGTCCAAATTTCAAAGCTACGACTCGGACTATAAGGGCTTCATAGACTGTATCTAGGTTGTTTTGTTGTTGCTGCGGTAAACCCATAATTTTAGCTACACTGCTAATGCTCATGGGCAGAAGTGAAGGGTTGTAACATCGCACTGCTCACTAAAAGCTTTTGTAAAAAAAAAACAGCCTCTTTGTAATTAGGGGATTGACTATTGAAGAGATTAGATATTATTTAGATTAAGATTAAGATGTATCACTTTTGTATGTCTTTGTATCACTTAATAAAAAAAAATATATTAAGATTAAGAGATCTTTTATTTGTCCCACAATGGGGAAATTTCAGAGTTGCACTCACTGGTTACAGAATAGTAGGAATGAGTAGCACACAAGACAAATGAACAATAACTCTATACTAAATAAAATAAAATGAAAAGTATAGGGGTTATAGATTATTACAACTACTTGCAAAAGGTGTGTACCGTTTTCTATGACTTTTCCACAACACTATTTCAATCCATGCATGATATGAAATGATTTATTCACATTTGCTTTCATGCATTCAGTATCCTATAGTTAAATGTAGGCTGATATGGGTGAAGAAATACAAAGAAAAAAAGCGTGCATGCAGTCCGCAATGTACTTTTCATTTCTATTTCATCTAAAAGACCTTAATACCAAAATGGATTGCAACTTTTACAGGGCCTTTACATCAGGTTACATTATTTTTTCCATGACCGTCAAACCAGGAAGATAGTCAACATTTGAATGCAACTTTTAAATGTTGTGTTTATTTTTAGATAATGTATTTCACTGCATTGAATCAGTATTATTTCCAAACTTATTCCGACAGAAGTTGCATTCGTGTCTTCTAATCCAAACCCGGTGACATTCAAGGTTATGCTAATTATTTTCAATACTTTGAGGCTCAAAGAAACAAAATATTCCCAAAAGGACTGTAATGTTTTCCGTTTCTGTATTTTTGTATTTTGTAAAATGCTCTAAATAGGCCATCTGGCAGCTAATACATTCAATAAAAATAAACGTATTTGATAATTAGTCCCTGGTGCTGCAAGTACGGGGCCAAAATGTACCTGAAAAAATATTCTCGTTATCTTTCTTGTTACAATAATTAATTTCTATAACTTCTGATTGAACTTATTACTGTGTAGATAATGAATAATGAACAACAAACCTTGGCATGAACTTGGTTGTTGTCACTTTCTTCTGGGGTGTTTATCCTAATTTCGCTTTGCAGTATTTTGACAAGACTTTGAAGTATATCATTCATTATGGCAGCTCCCATAAGTAAAGCCATGTCACAGATCTTGACAGCCTGCTGCAGCTCGTCTTTGGTTGGCTCTTGACGACAAAGCGCGGCCACTTTAAACAGACATCCATAGGAATACACCCGTCTCCACTCTTTGTCCACATCTCTCCAAGTGCCAGTGTTGAGTTTCTCCCAGGAAAAGTCCAAAATGATCTGCGCCGTGAGCAAAAGCCGGTCACTCGTGGTGTCATTGTACAGCTGCTGCCTGCACCGTGTGAGCATTTCCACCACACTTGAGTCTACTTTGTCAGAGGATTGCAGGAGAAACTCATCCTCATTAGGAGGCAGAACGGCAGCGAGTTTTGACCACAGCATTGTCATTGACAAGAAGGTCTCTATTAATCTGCAAGACAGAGAGTGAAGGTGAAGGAGGACACCACTTCAGCGCACTGGCACTATGATGAAGTACTTTAATTTTTGGCTAAATTTACTTCAAGATAGTTTAGGAGCTCACAGTAAATAGATTACAAGGACACCAATGTCATAATTTGCTAAAAGTGCCACTCGTTTGCAAGACCTAAATAGGACATTTTATTTTTTCTACACACTAGAGACAAGTTCACTGCAGCAGAGAGAAACAGATGTACACACCTAATTTCCAAACTGGCACCAGCGCAAGGCAGGTGAGGCAGACGAGAGCCAAAGCAGCGAGCGTGACACATACACAATGACGCCACTTTGTCACAGAGTTGGTGCAGGCGCCAAAAGTGCTTCTGAATGTAACTCAGTCCATCCGTGCTCTGGAAGCTATCTGCCACCAGCCACTGCCAGAGAGAGCAGTGGGCCAACTTTGCCCACCTGATACATTTGGTCGCATAGACGCATCTTATGAGCTGTGAAGCATTCAGTGCACATGCAAGAGGCTCAGGATCTGTAACAAGGCAGAGCAATTACACTCAGGTGGAGCTGTGTGCAGTAACTAAATCTCCAGAGTCTAGTCAGGCTGAAATAATCAATCAAATTGATCAATCACAAAAAAAAGCTTAATCAGATATCTCGAACAATGGAAAAATATGTGAAAATGTTCAAAACTAATTCCCACACCTAATGTTTATGCCTGGAGCCAACACTGATTTGAACACAAATTTCAATTTTTTTTTTGTCAATGATACAATGCTGGTTTAAAACGAGACATTTATGCATTTGAATACTTTTTACTTTGATGACTTTTTGAATAGAAAATTAAGTTCCTCTAGAGATCATGTCAAGAATCATGATTGGGATCATTTATTGGAGATTTCTTAAGACGATCTTCTGTCAAGATTGAGTTTGATAACATTTAGAAGACTACATGTTTTAGCCAGCAAAATAGCCGGAATTAAAAGCATGTATTGTATGTGATCGTTCAAAATACTGAAAAAGCTAAAATAATAACATTAAGATAAGATTTCCCATTTCCTCTTAAGTTATACACATAGATCTATAATTTATATTTTCCACGATTGCATATACACAAACGCTTTGCCAAAATATATTAAGATCAAATTTCAAACGTATCATTACTGTCCCAAAAAAATAATAATGTAAAATATATTCTGGCTCTTTAAAATGTAGTGTGGCTACAGCCCATGGTTTACAGTTAAATAATTCCATAGTAAATAGATTTTGTAATATACAAATTGTATACCAAACTTACATCTTTACAATGATTTCAGCGACGCATGCAGCTTCAAGTGCGCAACTGCAGAAAGCAGTATAGTAAACAATCGGAGACAGGTCACATATAAAGTGAATTGACTGGTTTGCTGCAATCTGTCACTTGCTTCATTGCTTCATTGCTATCATGCATGCTACAAACATTAGCCGCGTGTCATTGCTATGTGTCCGGATAGAAACATAATCAAATAACATTAGTTCCGCGCCTTTGCGGGTCATCTTCAAAATGCTCAAAATGCACCTGTAAACTTTGTCAGCGATGTGAGCATTGATGTGAGTCGTCAACTCGGAAGTGTGGACAGAATGATTCAGTAGGTATTCCTCAAGGGCAAGAATCTCATCTTGTAAGACTGTAAAACAAACTCACTAAAACAGAAATTAAAAGTCTTGCATATGTTTTTTCTCCCTCTCTGGCACAAACTATGCAGTCGGTAAGAATTTGTGCCTCTTTTAAGTGAAAGTTCAATAAATCTTATCCCTCCAACTGTTATTTCTGAATATCTTAAGCAAATGATATGTGAGACTATTAACAAATATGACATGCAGAATTTACCTCGCTACTCAGGGAAAGCTTAACCAATAATGACTCAATTTACCATTTGGTTTCAATGATTGCCTTATTTTTAAGCTAATAAACCTACTGACACCATATTAAATGTTAGTCTGTGTGAAATTCAAATAATGTGAGCAAAAATCTCCCAGTTGTTCCACATCCTTTGTAAAGACCACGAGGGATTCTATGTTTCATGTATTTCTACTGTTCTGCAGAAGTCTCCAGTTGTTACTTTATCTTTCTGAACATCGAGTAAGAGAAAAAGAAGAGAAGAATGACGTGTAGTATCTCCCAGAGTGGAGAACTGAATTCAGTAAGGATACAAAAAAAAAAGAAAAGACCTTTATTGATCAGAACACAACAAAAGTTCCTACGGAGAAAATAAAGGGTTTGAGAGTGGATGTTTAGATCCCAGGGGGTGAAATCCAGTCTTGTAAGAAAGATATGTTGACTTTTCCTACATCTTTCACTCTGCTGTGCCATGTGCTTTGAGACAGAGATGGATTATTAAGATAGTGAGTCCATCCTATTGAGGAGCCCATGTACTGTACCTCTAACCGACCTATTATAGAGTATGATACATTGACTACAATTTATAGTAAATGACTGAAGCATAAGTCCCAACGTTGCCATTTCACAGTATGTGTATGGTATATCTGCTCTTATAGGCCAGAGCTACACAGATTTAAAAAAAATAAACATGGCTGTAGATTGCTGTCGAAATCACTTAAATCAAGTTTCTTGTGACATTTATTTTTTACTTGGTAGAAGATATTGTAGTTCTATAGCAACAACTGTATTTCTAGCCATATGACTGTGGTGACTTACATGTACAGCTTGTAAGGCTACCACTATTTATACATTTTTTGGTCTTTTGGTCTGTTGTGGTCTTTCATGCTATTGTTTTCTTTTGTTTTAGACTTCTGAACTCCTTTTTAATGTGTTGGTTCCCCCGTTCTCCCTGGTTCACCGGTGGAGGTAAGTACAGTCTTAATTACTATTTTTAGGAGTAGATGTGGTGTACACACTCACTCACTGGCATCTGTCAGATGTGGTCTGCTTGCATGAAATCATGAAATAGATTATATCGCAAAAGTAGTTTTAAAGAAAGGATCATTTTCATACCTAGAACATATTTAACTTGAAGAGCACTCGCAGACCTTGTAATGTCAATTCCTCATCCCATCAAAATTTCATGCAAATTTGTGCATAACATTTTGAGATGTGCCGCTAACTAACTGACAGACAGAATATGCGAAAACACCTATAAAATACAGAAACGTCCATTTATGTCCATCTTGCCTACTCCTAGTTATACACAAACTCTAGGCTGGTTTTATTTCTGCTGCCTCCTTCAAATGAATGGAATAGTTGTTTGTCTCAGTACTAGTGTGTGCGGCTTCATGGCAGTCAGAGGGTCTGTTTGAGTGGTGTGTGGTGTTTATTATCGATGGGAGAAAGAGCTTTGTTTGTATGGAGGGCTGGCGCTGAAGAGGTGGTCCCAGCTGTACACGCCTGATGTATTATGTATTGTGTTTCTGTGAGGTTGTAAGACAGCGCCAGGCCACACTCAGGGTCAGAGGCGCGTACACTGTGCATGGTCCGGGTCGAGACCTCAGCCTGTTCTGTGGATCTGGTCGAGCGTCTCTAAGGAGCTTGTTAGTTTATGTCACTCAGGAATTGTCCGAGCTTCACTTTGACGGATTAATAATTTATCTTCTTTGTGTCATTTTTCATTGTATCTATTTCTACCTATTTATGTATATCTTGATCAAAATTGTATTCAATACCAGTGCCAAAATCAATATTTTGGTAATAAAACGATTTTTTTACTGACACTATTCAAATGATTAGTCTGCTCCCGCCTACTAAAACAGTCAAAGCAACAATGATACAATTGAAGTGAACACAAATTGTTACTAGATTATTGGTCAACACAACAGCTGTGCCAGCACTCATGTTGCAACGCAGTCCTACTGTAAGCCTCAGCACTATCTAATTTTAGATAAATTTGAGTCAAAATTGACTCAATTAACAGGACACCTCGTTTTGATGAGTGACACCAAGTCTCCAGCACTTTATATCTCCACATTTGCTGTTACATAACATCCAGTCTAGTGGGAGCTATGTTAGCCAGGCAGTTAAGTTTTTCAGTGTTTTAGAATGTATTATTAAAAATGTTGACATCAATATTTAAACTTTTATTGCAAATGAATATCAGTAGTATCAGTCTGCTTGATTATCTGCCTAAGCATATAAGTCGGTTGACCTCTAATCTTAATCGTGAAGCGCTCATAGTCATTATATTTGCATTATTTCTCTAAATGTGTCTGTGTGACCGGCCCTGCATGAAGTTGAAGGAAATGGATGAATGGATGTTTTGAAACAATGAAATGAATAGCTCACCTTTACACCTGCACTTAAAATAAGCACAGTGATGGGATGATATCACGCAACAGCAGGAGCAGCAGCTGTGTGAAAAGAAGTGCTAAAAGACTGCAATATTATTTGCAGGACTCAATCTTAATGTAAATACCCAACAAAACTAAGACTGTAAATTCAAAGCATCCTGCCACATGCAGCATGTTAATGGGATCATATGAAAACCCATGTGGGTGATATGAGGCTTGGCACCCTCGAGTTACAAGTCTTTGAAACAGTGCTTCAAAAACGTCCTCTGAAACGAAGGAATTGAGCAGGTTAAATAAACATCATTCAAATAAGTTTCCCATCAACCCTAACCCATTTAACCCACTACACTATGGCCAAACTACTACTGGGTCCACATGTGAGCATCCCACAATACGCCATTATATTTGATAATGTTACAGTAATGAGATAAATCACGTTTATGTATTTATGATTGGTCATCTTATTGTCCTGTAAGACATTTTACAGACCTATAAAACATAATTGGTAGACACACAGTTCTTCCTAATTGTCTGATATAGATTTACATGTGTCTCAGCTGATTATTGGTGTCTTTTACCTTGATGGACGAAAGCAGCTTGTGTATTTGATCAGTTTTTAGACTCATTTGTCAACTTTTCTTCAGTAGCAAAACAAGTAGATCAGCGCTGAATGGACATTGAAATGAGCAGAGCAGGTGGGCAGCTGTCCAACAGGCCCAATGCCCCCCCATGTGACACTGCAGGAGGGTTGTTATATTCGCCATTCAGCTTCAAGTTTGTCTGAAATAATGGCTGGAAACAAGGCTCCAGTGGTGTTACCATGGGTCACAGTCCAATTAAAAACTGGCAGTCATCACCTGTTTACTTTAAAGAAGTGGCGGTGGTGGACAGAGGGACATGACATTAACTCAAGAAAATGTGTCCTCAATATGTAGAGTAAAAGTATTAATGCATATTTTGAACTTGAAGGTCATCAAAGTTTCATCAGTTTTCTGTCTCCCCCTGTGGTGTGTTTTCGCCCAAATGCACTGTCACATTATCC